AATGCAGACCTACCTTTGACAGAATGGAATGAAAATCTAGCAGGCAAAGTGGAAAACAAACTAAATGTACAGCTATTTGAATGTCCTTATATCATATCAACCACCCAAAGAAAATCTGCATCACTAAGCTTGAGTAAATCATCTGAATTAGTTTTGCTTGCTGATTGTGAGGAAAAAAGTAGTTATATACCCTTGAGAATTGCAATTTCCACATTGAGTTACACAGGACCTACACATTTGTCCCAAAGGTACTTTTGCAAGAGGCAACTGCGCTTTCTTGTTTTTCTCTGAAGACGTTTCGCTTCTCATCCAAGAAGCTTTTTCAGCTCTCACTGTATGGTGGGGAATAGAAGGATTATATTCCTTGCAGAGAGCTGGTCATTTGCATTCTTTTAGAGTCGTTGAGGCCACTTGGAGATTTATCTGTGTCTTCAGGGTCGCCTGAGTAGTGCAAATGGGTGTGGAGCCTTCTTGGAACTGCTGAAAGGACTGTGTAGATAGATGATGTCATACCCCTCTCCCTCTGTTGAGAAAGGGCTGTTCAATTTTTACATAGATGCCCTCTTTGACCCCTTTCAAACCAGTGGTCCTCTCTGTCCAAAATGTGGACTTTGTCTTTTAAACGCAGATGGACTGCTGAATCTTGTTGTGGCTCCGTCCTGTGGGTCCCTCTCATCAGAGGAGGAAGGCTCTGAACATGAAGGAGAGGAGATGGCCAGGCCTCCCTCTCCAGGACCTTCCCCTCTGGTGCGGCCTTCGGTGCCTTCCGACGGAGAGGAAATTGGCCAGGAGCCCGGTGCTTCTGGGATTGGCCAGGAGCCAGGTGCTTCTGGGATCGGCCAGGAGCCAGGTGTATCGGACTCCGAAGAGGATACGTCTTGGCTGGATCCACGCCAGCGTCGGAGGGACAAGCGTGCGCAGCAGCTGAAACACCGTGCCAGAGATTTCAGCTGAGTCACTGGGCCACACCCCACTGGCTATATAAGCAAGGGGTGTGGCGTGTGAAACTCTTGTGACGGACAATTTTGCTGAATCTCCTGTGCAAGCACTCCGGCCATTTATCCTGGACTATTCGTATGTTTTGGTTTTGTATTATCAGTAAAGGCTTTGGCAGGCAGCCACGAAGTTGCTGCCAAGTGTTCATTTGTATTTGATTGTGCTGAGCAGTTTTTCAGCCCTCGGCTGACTGGTTGGGGGTGTGTGAGTCGGACGGGGGACAGAACAAATCTTGTCCTGATGGGTTTATTCTCCTATGTTGTGCCATGCGTTTATGAAGTGATTGTTTTGTTTCCCTAATGTACAGATCTGCACGTCTCACTGCATTGTACTGCATATACCACATTGCTCAGTTTGTGTCTGGGTGCTTTACTCTTGGGGTGGGCAAGCTTCTGCCTTAGTGTATTTTTAGGTTTAAAGTGTGCACATACGTTGTCTTAACCCAAGTATCGTTCACATACCTATACCGGTGAGTGAGTGGAATTCCTGTGAGGGAGTGAAGGGAAATCAAAGCCCTAAACTCCTTCCCAGGAATTCCACCCACTCACTGGTATAGGTATGTGGATGATACTTGGGTCAAGATCAAAACACAGGAATTGGAAACATTCACCAAACATATCAACTCTGTGGACAGATACTTCAAATTCACGCGGGAAGAGGTTAAGGAAAATAATCTAGCCTTCCTGGACTGTGCAGTACAGGCAGAAGCCTTAACACAGATAAACTACCAAGTGGCCTCGATGGCTCTAAAAGAATGCAAATGACCAGGGGTCTGCAAAGAATATAAATCCTTCCATTCTCCACCATCCAGTCAGAGCTGAAGACGTTTCTTGGATGAGAAGCGAAATGTCTTCAAAGAAAAACAAGAAAGTCCAGTTGATTCTTGAAAAATCACCTTTGGGACAACCAAGACCTGGATGACTTAGAATCTCCATAGACATACATATTTGTATTCAGAGAAATCTTATAAGAATGGTCTCCAATCACAATGATTCATTTTAAAATTGAGAAATATAATGCATCTGAAGGGTTTATAGGAGGGGAAAAAAGTAAGGAAGCTACGATAAGATCAGTCATTTATTTACTTATTTTCAGATTTATTATACTGCCCAACTCAAACAGTGCTGGCTCATAAACACACAATAGATCATAAAGAGAAGCAAACCTCCTCCCATGTAACAATAAACAGACAATATAAAAATACAAAACATAAAATGGCAATCAACAAAACAACCACAGGGGGACTTCCGCTCAGCTGGCTCCTAATGCCTGAGGGAAGACCCAGGTCTTAATGGCTTTTCTAAAGGTGAAAAGAATTGGGCCTGTTGTAATTGGGAGGGGGGATTGTTCCAGAAAACAGGGGCACACACTGGAAAGTGTCCACAGGAAAGCCACACTGCCTAGGTTACATAAGATGGCAAGATTTAAAAGAAGGAACCTGGAACATGCTTTTCCTGTGGAAGTTATTGGGAAAAGTAATCCGGTTCTATGCCATGTAAGGCTTTAAAGGGAATCGCCAGCATCTTGAATTGAACCCAGAAGTCTATCAGGAGCAAGGGTAAACACTAACACATGTTTGGCCCGAATTACTGTTGAATGAAAGGCGCTGTGTCAGCACTGCCACAGTTAATTTTCTGCTGAAGTGTTGCTCAGTAGCTTCATGAGTTCTCAGCTGAATAGCAGTTCCAACCGCAGTACTGCAACACCATCAATGCTGTCCACCCTGGCTTCACCACAACTTCCTCTCCTCTCCTTGGATGCCCAGTAATCAGCAAATGCCCCAAAGGCAGTTCTGACTGTCTGAGGCAGCTGGGAAGCCAGCTCATTCCTAGCACTCTCTTTCCATCAGGAGTCCAAAACCATCTGCAACTAGGCAAGATGATCAGGAGTCATCCTCCATTATCAAAAAACAAAACAAAAACAAAACAAAGAATCCCAACTACAACACTCAAAGCTCAAAACTGAACACTAACTTCCACCATATCCTAAATCCATCATAAAGTCATTCAGCTAACAAAGTACTGCCCTCATTGGTCGCCATCTTAAAGAAAGGAGGCATCACTACTTCACTATTTAGAAGTATAAAGTACAGCAATTTCTAAATTCTCAAAGGATAAATGTACCATGTTTAACGCATTATTTAGATGAATGTACCTGGAACAAGAACCCCAAGCACACAAACAAATGTGAAATATGCAGCAATGGAACAATATTTAAACTATCTGATTTATACAATTTCCTCTGAATTATTATCTCACAACCTGCTGAGAGATCAAGGCTCCATTGATCAGTTTTATCCTGGCTACACACAGAATTTGTCTGAATTACCATGTTTAGCTTGGGTTCCACCATCAACAATCAGCATTAATCCCAACGTGTGATATACCACTTCGTCAAAAAATGAGTTAACCATGCTACCAGAAAGGGAATCATATTTTTAAAACTTGAAAATAAGTACCTTGATATGGCCCACGGGTAATCAATAAAGATTATTGTTATTGTTATTGAAAATAAGTAACTTACAATGTAACAGTGATCTAAAGTAGCTTTATAATAGAACTCGCAGGAAAACAAAACTTGCAGCCTACACTTAGCTACTGTGGAAACTGTGAAGCAATGGAAAATGCAGGATTAAGAAACAAAAGGTGATATTAACCAGAACCATCATAGAAGACCTGGAGAATGGAAGGGCAATTGCATCAGAAAGATCTTGCTTGTAAGAATTTCTAAGGCTGTTAAGAATCTCTAATGAATTAATTTATTAAGTCTGTTGTCTGAAAACGAGCAGTTGTATTGGCAGAGATGGGAAAATCTGTCATTTCATGAAGCAACACTTCGTTATTTTCCTCTTAGCTATTGAAACTTGAAGCAAGCCCAAGATGGGGCAAGCATGATCCTGCTCTTTATTTGTTTTAAGCCATTACTTCAACAGAGTAGGATGGCTCTAAACTGGGTTCTCTCAAGGCATTCTGACAGGTGTCTTATTCACTCTCTGCAGAAAAACGAGGGGGCAGGAAGAAAAGAGCTAGGTTTTCCTGCCCTTAATTTGAAGGGGTTGCAGAACTGGTACCTAATCCCTATCAGATGTTTTACTCTAGGCTATCTTAACTTCTCCGTGTCCATTTCCAAAGAAGGACAAGTCAAGTCTTCTATGAATCACTCCAGCCTCAAAGTCACTAAAATGGCATAGATCCATCCCATATTGTGGTTATTTCATATACAAGAATAGAAAGATAATAATCTTAGAACAGGTGAATATAAAATTCAGATCAAGTTTTAACAATGACTACCAGTGAAAGCTGGCAGACATAACGCACTGATAATAGGGAAAGAATTCTAAACGGAACACTTCCTCAAGAGGACACTCCCAGAGTGAATAAGCTTTTGAACACCCACGACATTCCTGAGTGTTCTCCATCATTATTTACTGCTTTCTACCAAAAATAGCATCGTAAAGTATTTTGTTTTGAGACTTCTTACAACACATAGTCATAATCCTGGTAACGGGCATCTTTGTATACATCCAGAATCTCTTAAAGATGTTCCCTTACTTGTTGACTTTTTCTGTTGTAAGTCGAAGAGACATTAATGTGTAAGAGAGAGTCTGAAATGGAGCAGCATACAAACTTTAGTAGTAAAGTTCCTACAAATCAGATGACCAACATAACCAAGTTAATATCTGACCCAATACATTGAAAGCAACTCAGATAAAAGAGCTTTTAACTCAATTTATTTTTGCAATATTGTAAACTATTCAATCCCCTGAGGCTCGGGCTTGCGATCAATGTGAAAGGGACATAAAACAGGAAGCAAATAAAGTTTGTATATTTCAAAAGTTAACCATAGCAGGTTAGACATGATCCAAACCTGTAACATGTTTATATGCCAATAAAGGGTGACATTTGAGTTTATTTTCAGGAGAGGAACAATCTCTATCACTTACATATGAGGTTTTCCCATAGGAAAGAGGAATAAATCAGTTTTTTTAAAAAAAAAAAAAGTGGGGAGAGGGAGGGAGAGAAAGGTATATGGACCATTCCTCCTTCTGAAAGCATCACAAAGAGAACATGGGCATATTGACAAACCTTCTCTGTAATAGACCCCAATCTCTGGAATCTCTCTCAGAGGTATAAAGTTATTCTTTTTGCATTTCACAGGCAAGTAAAATATATTGTATTCCAATGAGCCCTTGGCTGGGGTTTCCATCATAGCAACTGTCTTATTCCATCATAGCAACTAACTGTCTTATATTATTATATAACAGAGTCACCGGTATCCATCATGGTTGGCATAGGCTATCTGCACTGTGAAATAAATACATATGTACACATACTGTATACTCACATATACTCTAGGACAGGTGTAGATGAATCAAGGATGATAAATAATCACAGTGTGTAATTGAAAAAAAACCACTTATGGGTTCATTAAAAAAAACTGGAACTTGTATTACCTATCATACAGTTCCAGCATTTCCTAAAAAAGCACAAGTAATCATATCAGCAGGGTTTTTATACATTTTATTAAGTAAGGAGAAAGTTCAAATCGGTGTCTTATCTTTCAGATGTCCCCTGAAAAATTAATCCTTTTTTTGTGCCAGTTGTCAGTGTGAGTTCTCTCACTTTTCCCCACCTACATTACTTTCATGCAGAAAGAGGACAGACCATTGCTTTTTAGAGCCATGTATTGCTTTGTTAGATGACAAGATATCTTAACGTATTCAGTTCAAGAAGCTTGCATCCTTACAGTATATCTGTAATGACATGAGTTCTGAAGTTGTTCTTGCTTTCTGAGGCTTAATCGCTGAAGTAGTTAAAGGAGAAAGCTACTGCAGATATGGCAACTGCCACTGCTATCACCACTCCTGAAAAGAAATAAAAAAATTGAAAGATAATGCAAATTGGTATTTCAAATGAATTTTACTTTAATTCATCTCCCGCTAAAAACTGCATTTTTGCTAGTTTAATTTTGTAGTACATTGTTTATAGACTTTCTCCTGTGGATCTATTCTGGGCTTCCTCAGGCAAGGAGAAAAGTATATTAATAAAATAAGGAGTAACTGCACCAGCAAAAGAATGCTAGAAAATCGGGAACCAAAGCAACTGAGTCAATAGGCAATGTGTGTTCTTTATATTCATTCATTCTGTATCTATCTATCTATCTATCTATCTATCTATCTATCTATCTATCTATCTATCTATCTATCTATCTATCTATCTATCTATCTATCTATCTATCTATCTATCTATCTATCTTCCATAGGTAGTCCTTGTATAATAATCTTTAGGACTTGGTTGCTTAGCAAAGTGATTGCTAAATGAAATTGCAATTGCACTTAAGGGTTTTACTGCAACTTTCCTTTGCTTAAGACGGTCATAAATACGAGGATTGATTGCAAAGTTATTTTTTCATCATTGTTGTAACTGCAATTGGTTGCTAAATGAGGACTCCCTCCCTCCCTCTCTCTTTCATATATCCATCCTTCCATCCATCTACCTAAGTATATAGACACCCACCTCACAAATGTGACTCTGGGCAGTGTACAATAAAACCAATAATTAAAACAATCTTAAATAACCATTAAAGCAATTAGACATAAATGTAAAGAAGATTGCATGAGAATGCTTCAAGGAAAGTGATAAATCATATTAAACATGACTATTTTAAGTAGTTCTGGAGCAAAGGCTAAAATACATATACCCATATTTTGATGTAGTTTCAATAGTAGCATTTCTTTTGTCACTTGATTTGGTTGTGCATTATCTTGGAGTTCCTTTGGCAGGCTTACTTCAACTATAATTAAAAGAAAAGAGGCAAAAGCATGTGTTTGTATCTTGCCTGAACTTCATCTCTAACCTAATGTTCCTTTTCTTCATCAAAACTCTTTAAAAAAAAGGTTTTTTCAGAGCCCAGGATGGAAAAACCAAGTCTATGAATGCAAATTCGTGTTGCGTAATTTAATTTTGCATACAAGTTATAAACAGCTCTGGGTCTTACTTAGACTGCCTTTAAACTCACATCCCAAGGCAGAATATCCAAATAAAATATATAGAATAATTAAGAACTGAACAAGAAATGAATTCCACTATCTTTTGAAAAATTCTCCCAAAGATTTCTTGCATAATACTCAGCATCAGCAACTTTTGTGTGCTATACTTATTATTATTATTTGAAAAGATGATGTATAAACTATGTAAATAGCTTTTACATAGATCTAACCCAACTATGGAGGCAACATGTGCATCAATTATTTCTCCAAATAAAGAACCCACCCAAAGCAAGTAATTTTTTTTTCAATATTTCCATCTATGGCCATTTTTCTGAATGCTTACAGTAAATAAATACAGCATAAAAGCAATGAGCACTTAAACTTAATAGTCATAGTTATAGCAGATAAACAGAGATGGTATTAATCTATTTTTATATTAATTCATGTAAGCTATATTTTCTGAACTGTTCTGCCAACCATCCCATTTGGCACATTCAACAAAAGAAACTCCTGGCTCTTTAGGATGACCAAGAGTATAGCTTTATTGAAAGATCCATCTAGGCATAGCAGAAGCAAAGTCAGTTCTGGGATTTTCCTGCGAAAACCCACATTGGTAAAAACCCCTTTTCCCATTCCGAGTTACCCACAGTTCATAGTTCACCAACTGAGTTCATTCCTTTTATTTTGAGAAAGACTGTCTGCGCCACTCAAACATTTTCCATAACTTGACCTTGGTGCAACAGAAGGCTCTCATGCATTCCATAGTCTTCCCCCTCCCAAGGAATTCACCACTCCTCCTCCTGTCACTGTTTTAGCAACTTCAGGTACAGGCAACTATGGAGTCAAGTCAGGTTTGAATTTTAGGATATTTAACAGCATTTTTAAGAAGAGAGAACTATGAACTCCATGTTATGAATTGCCAACAAGTACAATGATTACTAAAATCATGGAGTAATTATTCTGTACGTAAGTAGTCAACATTTCTATAGTTGCAAAAATATAAGACTCAAAATATAAGACTTTTATATATATATAAAATGCTTACTTATAGGAGAGCAGTTAAGAGGCATAATCATAGTATTGTGTTCCTACCAGAAATTCTACCCATATAATTTCTAGTAGACAATGTTGAATGTAAATGTTAGGATGGTGTCCTAGATTAACATGTCCCTTCGTTTTATATAGAAATAAACTTTGTAGAAATGTCCCTTTACAAATCTGAATATCCCAGTGGCTATCAGGTGTCACAGCAGGTACACTTGGAAGTGTTATTAATATTGGCAGTATCATAGTCTTTCTTAATATGCCGTAAGCTATTAATGTCAGTATAAAATGGAGTAAACTCAGCAACTGACCAAATGGTTTTACACTTTTTTTGCTTGTGTACACTTGTTTAATATCCAGAATGGGGAACAAAGAAATAAAAAACTGGCAAACAAAGTTTAAGAAACATTGTCACTGCATCGCCCAAATGCATTTCAGTTTTAAAAAATCCAACTTTTGTCCATAACAAGACTCAATGAAACAATCCTGCTTGCCTTGCCATGGAAGTCATCTTAATCACAACTATTCTAATGCAAGTCATGGTTACTCTGTCCTGTAGGACCAGAATTCTTGGATTCATTAACTCTTCATCAACTAGATTAAGAATAAATTAAAGGGAAGAGATTGCCCTCAGTGAGGTACCCACAATCTGATTTGTGTTTCTCTGTTCAAAACCTTTGGTAAATAGAGGCTGAGACTAAGTCAAATCCCTTAATGTATATCTTACTTGTTCATGATAAGAAACAGAAGTTCCTAAAATACAGATCTGTGAAGTACCTATTCAGTTATCAGTTGTTCAGAGGATCATGTTTGACAAAACTAGTTCACACATAATTAAAATGTTTTAAATAAATATTAAAACTAGCAGGTTTTATTCAATGCAATAAATTACATCTAGCAGAGGTCACTGAGCTCAATTGAGAAACAGTCCACTGAAAAAGCAGGTCTCTATTAGTCATCAGTTGCTCTAGTGCACTATTATGCAGTTGCACAAATTATACAACTGCAGATAACACTTATTGGGATAATGAGATAATTTCCAGAAAATCATCCTAGCATTTGTTTCCTTTGAAATGATTATTCTCTAAGAAGCCACCATCTTTGTATGAAAGATTTTGAGAAAATGGAGAATTGTAAACTCATTTTCTGAATTTTTTGGTTTCATGTTAGCCAAGAAAGTGAATTTGTAGTGTTTTCATTTAGGGTTAAGCTAGACAAGATATAAAAGGTGCAATCTTTAGTTGGGAAAAAATCTTAAAATATTTTTCTGTGCTTCAGCTAAAGATTGTTCTACAGCTCATCCCATGCTTAGCATTCATGAAAGGGCAGATATAAGTGTGCTTGAATGAGCTTCTGACACCAGATGGAAAAAACTGAATACCATTATTATTCCAATTTTCTTTTTCCTTGGGCTATGTGGTTGTAAACAGTTATTTTAAGTTAAATTATTTTAAGCAAAAGATAGCTCCTAGGCCATTTTGTTGAACATCTCCTACATTGTCTTAGTTGGTGCTTAGCTCCAAGGAAAATTAATAAAACATATTTTGATCACAGAGTGCAAAAACCCCCTAATGATTAAGAAACATTTCTTGCAAAAAATTAAAATAATTTGCATATTAAAATGCATGCATTTAAAATGCTATTTTGCTATAATTCCATGCCCTTATCTGGTTACAAGTTTCAAAAGTGGGAAAGAACCCCAAAAAAACTTCCTTCATATATCACAGGGAAATGTTTTGGACATATAAATATATCATGTGCCTTTGGAACCCATTTAAAATACTGAAGGACTCTGAAGTAAAATGTGCTTCACTTTCAAGTTTTATTTCTGAGTAATTCCCAACAGAAAACAATCTGATTCTTAGCAGCTACATTTACCTGTATTCATTTCCTCAGCAATATGCAAATCATCTGATTGAACAGCTTGGTCCATCATTTCAAGAAAGCGTTCCTGAATTTCCCTGATTGTCTCATCACCAAATTTATAATCACAAAGCAACACATTGGATCCCACAATGGGAGTGAAAACTCTACAAGGCAAGATGTGATATTCAGAATCTAAAAAAAGAAAGGGAATCCCTGTTAATTACTAATAAAAAGCATTAAGAGCTATATCCCGTTCACGCTCACATAAATTATGAATACACATATAATTTTCAATATTGTAAGACATCTCATATATATGAATGAAACACATACATAGCATCACTACTACTTTTGAATAAGCATAATAATACACCAGCAAGCTCCCAGCATCCAATTTACATTAAATTGACTTCTTATATTTTTTGAGTGCATTGAAGAGTGTTGCAGGAATCTTTAATTGATAAAGGCACTGATGATGTTACCTAGTTGGGTAATGAAATGTCTGCAAGCAAACAACCAAATTCAGAGAGCACCGGAGAGCATAATTCAACTCTGAGCTACATATATTCTCTTCTCTTGAGGCAAAGGTAGCACTTGGGAGACAATGCTGCCAAAACTCAAATTTGAAGTTGAGCAGCACAATTATGTCCAGGCTTTTTGTTTCATTGTGTTTCATTTGTTTCATGGAGATAAGGAAATTTTAAGAGTGGAAGAATGGTAAGGATAGTTACTCCCTCTCTCAAAAGCCCCTCAAAAAAGGCAAAGAGTGTATGGGTAAAACACATTTACATTCTTTCTGATGACTCCATGGATTGTCTGTTGCGAGCATTCTAAAAATTGGAAGATTAAAGGATTAAAGGCTCCAATCCCTAAAACAGCATCCAGACCCAAGAGAGGGTGAAACACTAATTGTGCTTAAAAGCTGATTGCTAAGCATGTCCTATGATGAGGCCATAAAATATGATTTGTTATTATATTATTACAATATTATTAAAGATGTGTGGCTTCCCTTGTCACAAAGCAAATTTGTGCACCATTTTACTATAATGGCAATAATTCTCATCTCTATGCTCCTCATCATAGAAAGAGGGAGGAAAGACAGTTTTATCTAACATAGAGTTTTTTCCATTTCCTAGAAAAAAAAATGGTACTTCTAATCAAGTACTGCTTGCTGGGCAGAGCATATAGCTGAGGTTAGAATATCTTTCTAATCCATGTCATCAAAGGCATATTCTCCATAAAAGCTAGAACACAGTGAATCAAAAGGCTGTTTGTTACTTTTGCTGCAAAAGAAGAATATAAGTCATTGGCAACATTTGCCATTGAAATCTGTGAGACCAAAAGACGACATTAAGGAACAAGGAAACATGGATGGAGGTGGAATATCTTGAGAAAAGGAAAGTAATTCTGAAAGATTTATGTTTCAACAGTAAATGTAGTTACTATATATACCGTATATCATGCAATAGCATTCGCATATATACACAACAGATGCTACCTGAAGAGTTAATTAAAAATTATAAGTAACTTGGCCATATTAGTTAAATATGAATGCTTTCCAAAAACAGGTAAATTAGGATTGTGAATACTTGTCTATTTCTACTCAGTACATGCAGGAATATAGGGAAACAAAAAGGCAAGAGAAATTGTTTCAATTTCTATTATAAGAGGCCATAGAAGTCTGCTTGATCAGCTCTCCAAAGACAACAGGAGATCCTCAGCTTCTGAGAAAAATATAAATGTAAATTAAGTTGATAAGGGTGTCTGGAATTCCCCGTAGACACGTTGGCACACTTTTCACCATGTTGGGGATTCCAGGTATAATGCTGGGATGCTTAATATAATTTTTTTCAGTATGGGACAGCATAGTTTGTCAGAAATGCCAAGTTGGTTCTAGTTTTCGTCACACATCCCTTACCCATTTTCTAAATATTGTGACAGAAAAGTCCAGAATTAAAATACTTATAAAAAGTGCATTTTTAGAGAAAATGTATAGAAGAATGCACATGCAATGTTGATGCACTTTCTAAAAAACCACACACTTATGTGGAAATAAGCTCAAATAAAATTAGTCTGGGGAAACAATATTAAATTTTTAAAAGCATACGATTGGGTTATTGGGCTCCTTACTTCTCTTACTTTTCTTTCCTGGTGTTTCATTGACAAGCAGATCTTCAAACAATATTTCACAACGATCAGAGAGAGTGTTTATTATGTCTCTCTTCAAGGCCTACAAAAGAAGCACAGAACAACACGTATGAAAGCTATGCACGTGCAAAATCCACCATTCTGAGCCAATCCTTGGAAGATCCATGGGCTCAGGGAAAGAAATGAAGTGCTCTGGACTCCTCTGCAACATTTTGTTCCCAGTTTGATATATTCCTAACACACACTCCTTCTAAAACTTATAATATAAACTTAATGACTGCTATAAAGGAGTTGAAATCATTGCCAGGGATGCTGACTCTGAAGAAAACTAAATGCATCCATCTTTGCAGAGAAAAGAGTGTGTGATAAATTAAAAAACAACAACAGGTTACATGACACACGGTGAAAATTCAGCCTGCCTTCTAGGCGAGATTTCTGGGCAGTTTGGGAGATTGCCACAAAAATGGCAATAGAGTCTTTTGGCTACAGTAATTTTTTAAAAGAGTAAACTATTTGAAGAGCGCCTCCTGCTAATGTGCAATTATTATTCCCTCAGCAGAAGGTGGACTGCGCCTATCACTTTATAGGAATCAGGCAGATACTGAAAATGGATTGAACTCCCCATGGGGCTCTTATATGGATAGTTTGACATTAAAGATAGGAAATGCTCCTTATTCTCACCATCTTTCATTTCCTCAGACACCAGCTATATTCATATATCACACTGTGTTAGAAAAGTCATTTGTACAAATCCAGGACTTATTTGTACAAACATAGCATAAAGAAATCATGACTAGGCATAGACTACCATTGAGTCATAACCCCCCCCCCCATATAATAACACCTCCCAGATCTTAACTTGAAGAAGGAAGGTTTAAAATTAGCTACACTTCCATTGAAAAGCAATGTTTAAGACTGTCACCCCACTCCAGTTATGCTCACCTTGTCAATAGTATCCTCAAAATGATTGTTACACAATCAGACGTTTGAAGATATACTGGGACTATAAATGACAAAACTAGGGAGGGTTAATATGGATTTGAGGTTCTGTTTTGTCGTTTTTGAAGAAAAGCATGCATGGAACCTCTGGGCAAGAAATTTGAATTATTGCAATTATATCCCTTATTTATATTAATTGCTAGCAAAATCAGAGATCTTGACTGGAGCATGAAAACAACCAGTTTTTTCAAAGATGAGGGATAGTAAAAATACCTGAACAGCATCTTTAACTTTAGGCTTGTTATTATGGATGTAAGCTTTACATTTTAAAGCTCCTTTATGGAGATTTATGGAGCCACTGCAGATTTGGACCGTAGCTGTTGATCTGGAGTTTGTACTTTGCATCTGAAACAGAGAATAGGCAGAAAACACAAATAGTACACGTTAGCCAATTCCACTCTATCTTTAATAACTGTAAACGTGAAATTTTATTTTTGCTTATTAGAGTTCCACATCATTGTAATTTCCAAACAATCCTCTTAATTACCAACATTAACAGACATCAAAATGTACAATACTGAAATATCCTTGGTAAAGAAATAAACGTAATAGTACATTTAAAAAAACAAAGAAAAATAAACAAGGTAGCATTACCCCACTTACCTCCAAAGGTTCTTTGGAATAGTTCCATTTTAAATAACTTCCAGAAGGTTAATTGAGAGGGGGGGGGGAAATCTCATTTCCAGAGAGAGGCTGTTCCATAAAGTGGGTGCTTTCAATGAGGAACGCCATCAGGGTCTTTTCTACATTGGAAAATGCTTAATGCATATTCTTTATTAATATTTATTAAAATGATCTGCATTCATACTGAAAGATAATAGACTACTTACAGCCTCCTAAATAAATTAGCAGATATTTCAACCAGCTTTCATCACTTACCAATCATGTTACAAACAATGCTCATAGAAAGTGAAAGCGGTATGGGCCAAAAAAAACACAAAAAAAACCCCTCAGAAAAACCTTCTGTCGTTCTGTAGTTTTTTATTATTCTTATGTTTGCTGAGATGGAGAGCCAAGATTGTTAATTACCAATTTGCATAAGACTATGTACTGATATGTGAGCGAGATCTGAATGGAGGATACATCTTCTTACTTTTTAACCCCTTTGTCAAAAAGTTTACTTACCAATTGTGTTAAGACCTTAACATCAAGATTCCTAGTAGCTGATGTCATATATCCTCTTGATTTTTTCTGTAAGGATAATTCAAGTATAGAAGACAGCTGAACTGAAAAGAATATTGGTAAGGTTCAAATGCTAAACTAGAATCTATCAGAGAAAAACATTTAGACATTTGCGTATTTTATTTTGTCTTAGCTGTTGTGATTTTTTACAGGATTGTGTGACAAAAACCTTTAATGAATTGGTGAAGTTTTCCACCCTTCTGCAAACACTTATCATTTATTTCATAGGTAATATTCTGCAGTTCAGCTAAGTTCTAGATAGTTAATGTTAATAGATATGCCTTTGAATCAGTCTTGAATCCTGGTGACTGCCTGGACAAGTCTGTGCAGTTTTCTTGGCAAGATTTTGGAAAATGGTTTGCCCATGGTTTCTTTCTATAGTTGAGGTAGTGACTGGCCCAAAGTCACATGGATGGTTTTGTGCCTGAAGTAGGATAAAAACACACTGCCAGTTTCTAATCTGATGCTTTAACCACTACACCAAACTAACTCTCTAATACGAAAAAGTATTAGTTTATTTTTTAAAAATGTACTCAAAGTATGGTAGAATATAAAATCAGCAAGGCACAATCAGACTTGCACGATCACCATACTGGAGAATGTAATGCTTAACTCAAAGAAAATTCTGGTGATGATAGGGTATTTTACTTTGCTTAAGGTTTTTTTAGGTATAAATATTAACCACTCTACAGATATTGTAGATTACATTCTCAAACAATGTGACTTTAATCTCTACTTTTGCATTAATGCACATATCAAAATTAAGCTACAATCTAGAAACAAAACAGATACTATGCAAAGGTTTTTTTCTGTTTTGATGCAAAAGAGGCATCTTAGAAGAGGTTAAACTCTACTCTGATTTAGAATAGTCTAAGAATATATATAAGATCTTTTCAGTAACAAATTAAGAATAAAAACGGAGAACTGAAGCTTGCTACAATAGATAGAAAAATCTGGAAAGAATTACTTGGATCATGGGTTGGATCCAATTTTCAGAAGTATCATATCAATCAGCATAAATTTTCAAAATCACCTTATCAATTGGTATAAATAGAATAATAACATGGAAGAATTTCTGGATCAAGAAGAAACGGTAGCAGCCCAGATTTTCTGTTATTAAAATTGTGAGTGAAAAGGAAGTGAGGCAACCTGAGAGATTGTTTAAAAGTCAGCAAATAGATTTACTTCCTCAGATTAAAATGCTCTCCCAGGAAACTGGATATGAACAGATTCAGGTTCTGCTCCTACTGAATTCAGTGTGGTTCTGCTAAGAGAAATAGCATTTATATTCCAAGTGTTCTTGATATATTAAACTAAGAGGAATGAAATTAATTTTTCTGACCGCAGGTGGAATAACTCTGCCTTTTGGGTAAGATTGTGATTTTGTCTTTCTCAATGAAAATGTAAAGCTAAACTATAATGTAATGTCTATGATTACATAATGTCTATATGTAATCAACCATGCTTACTCCTGATAATTTCAAATAAATGTTTGTGGGCTAGATGGGCAATGTTTAGCTTTCTTTAATTTAATTTACAGAAACTCATCATAAGAAACACATTCCCTGAATCAATTGTCTGAGTCAATGGTCTCCCCACTCGAGGTTAAGATTGTTGGATATTGTAAAATCTGGGAAATTCCACAAGGGGAGAGATTCTGGTCACAAACAATGGCAGGAGAATGATTTCTGTGAAAAGGACTGAACTGTATGTTTTATTTGCTATGAGCTTGAAAAGGAAGTGGAAACTGTAAAAACAGTCAAACATGGAGATATGCTCCATGTTGATAGCGAAAGTCGATAGGATGCCATGAGGCTCAAGACTAATGCACTGTTCCCGTTCTTCTTCCTTCAGTAGAAAAACAGCCTTCTGAATCTTTAAAACTATTTCAAATAACAGACAAATTATCATTGGATAAAATGATGAGCAAAGTATCTCCATGGAATAATCTTTCGCTTCTCAGGAGAATAAGGCCCTCTTGATTCAAATGATGCCCACTGGACTCTCAGGCTTAAAGTCTACATCTGCTGTTGAGTTAAAAAGGGATAAAAATATCTCAATGTACAAGTGTCTGTTTGACCTGTTCTCTTACTGAGTGATACAATAATACAGGCAAGTGGAAATCAAAGGAAAGAATATCTGGCCATATCTCCCTTAGCACCACTGACAGCTGGGAATGGAGTTTTAGAGCATCAGAAACATTTTGCTGAAGTGATCTGGTGCCACCTTCTGGTTAATTATGCAAAACAGACAGTGTAAAAAAGGGCATTTATGAGCATTGATAGGGAGGGAGGGTGGGAGGGATGGAGAGAGAGAGAGAGAGAGAGAGAGAGAGAGAGAGCAAGCGAGCGAGAGATAAGGCAGGGATAGAGATAAGGCAGGGAGACTATCTTTGTCAAGGCATTAACACTAGGATTTTGCCTGAGAAAGGGAGGAGCAGCATTGGTTCAGCATTATTAGACTCATGAGATCAAACTAACAGGGATGATTTCACTGACTAGTTTACTATAAGAAGAATCCTTTTAAAGTAGTGTATGATAGAAACCATTGAAGCCATGAATGACTTCACTCCACTTTTCTATGCATTCTGTACTTTGATTACAGACTGAAATCCAATAGCAGAGTTTACTGTTGCTTATCAGCCCACTCTGATGAGGTAAAGAATACCATTGATGGAGTGCCAAGTCATTAAACCATCCTTATTTGAAACCATTGGTAGAGACAGGAATAAGGAGAAAGAACCAAGGCACGAAAAAAGCTTTTTTTTTAAGGAAAAGAGAAAGAAAACTAAGCATAGTTATTGGTATTCTAAGAAAAATATGGAAATAAAGAATGAGACAATTCTTAAAGATCATTCTAGGCTAAAGCAAGAAAAAATGGGGGAGAATCCAGAAAGCGTTAATGTAACATCAGACTTTAATTACACTGTTTTTCTACTGCTGGAGAATTTAAAACTTGGACGCCTTCAAGTACCAAAACAGGAAACGCTTAGAAAATTTTTGGAAGTTAGAGGGGAAGATAAAAAATCCACATTAGTCCAAAATAGATCTCTGAAGGTATATATACGCAAAATTGAAATGGATAAAAGAAAATTAATGTATTCATCCTGGTGACTTAATAATACAATGCAGCTTAAAGAGTGCTGTTTTTTACTGGAGTGTCTTCTTACACACTGGTAGTTCTTGACTTAATGATCATTTGTTCAGTGACCATTCAAAGTGATGATAACTTACACAAAGTGACTTACAACAATTCCTTGCTTTTATGACTGTTGCATTGTCCCATGGGTCATATGATCACAGTGCAGACACTTGGCAACTGACTCGCACTTATAACAATACCGTTGTTCTGGAGTCACATCATCGCCATTTGCATCCTTCCCAGGCAGCTTTCAACAAGGAAAGTTAATAGGGAAAACTGTAGGGAAGTGTGCAAGTCACGTCTTGCTTAACAACCGTGTCAAAAAAGGTCATAAAACTGGTTGCAGTCAAATGATGCCTCACTTTTCCTGGTTCCTATTATGATCTTAAATCAAAGACTACCTGCAATTTTTCAAAATGTCCTGAAATAAGAAGATAAACTCTCCCTCAGTTTCTACATGGATAATATGGATTATTTTTTTTTTTACCCAAATGTAACCATAACTCTATACGATAGTTTGGGGGCTTGTTTAGACGTTCATATATGAGCCCTAGTGAGATTTATTAATGCTAACTAATGCCCATTCATAATCAGTTTTTTAAAAAAGCCTCTATCTTAGCACATTGTCCAAATTTGATCATTATATATTATTAAGTTAATGTATGTCAGTGTCAGTGTGCTCATTTAGCATGTTACTGCTTGAATAAACGAGGCATACATTTGGGATTAGATACTCCTTAGGGCACACAAGACATTTATAAGCTAAGGCGAATAGGACAAGAAAATCCTGCTGATGATGTTACCTAGTTTGGTAACAAAACATTCAGAAATTATACTGAAACAAGCTTGGAGAACAAACCACAGCCGAAACCGCCTTAGGTCATCTTGCTTTCAAAATTTGATTCAAACTTCCAATATAAAAAAAATGTGCTGTATTAGTGGTTTGCTTTAACAAAAGTTTCAACTGTTTTCAATAGAGCACCGGAAAACCTATCATGCAAGCTGCTACAGAGGACAACAATTTCAAGTTTACATTGTTTACTACCTACCTGCCCTTCCAGTAAGTCAGCATCTTCCTGTCTGGCTTGTCCATTGATCAAAAAGACAGCCTCCTCTATCTGTTGGGCCCAACGTCCCAATCCATTCTATAAATCAGAATCAAAAACAAAAGGGGTAATTTTACTGAAAGATCAACTACATTTCTGACCAGTGTTAAGTGAAATACATTTAATAATTTTAAAAGCCTAAGCTGCAGAACAACCCGCAGATGTTCTCTTCTAAATGTAATTTAAATAATTTTAGATCATGAAGCAGAGAAGTTGATTCCTTCTAATTTTTATACTAGTCACTAAAGAACGGGTATTAACTGTCATGTGTGGATACATCTACAACAATGTTTAAATAAAAATATGACATGATCTCTAAGCCATTGGTAACTTAGTGTTTCAAGGTCATACTCTTCTTTATCTTGAGTATGGACATGCTAGATTACCAATGAAAGGATGGCATGTTATTTTCCAAGTATTTGTTAGTGAATTGCCACTGTTCAATATTTCTATCGTTGACATTTACTGTTGTATACTACTGCTAAAGGATATACAGTATTTTTAAACCCAAAAGTTATGTTTAACCCTTATATTTCCATTCTATTGCTCATTCCAATATCGGATTTCAAGAGTAGCAACATATATTACTGATGATCTCTCTTAAAATCAAGACAAAAAAAGAAGTTAAAGAAAGTCCTATTGGGGAAACAAGTCACAGTTTGAGGAGCTTGCAAGAAATTAGCTGACAACTGTTAGGATACCAAAGAAAGATGTGCAGGCAAAAGACTAAGGAAGGCAGAGGAAATGATCTAAGGTAAAAAATATTCTAGTGAAAAAAGCAACAAAGCCAATAAGAGTTAAGCCTTATGATACAATTAATAACACAAAATGGTTTTTTTTAAATTACCCTTATATTTTTTTCTAAGTTGTGGCTGGCCAAGGTGGCAGGGAGAGGAATATGTATATTAACATTAATTGTGCATTCTAACGATAGCCAGGAAGCAGAAAGAGCATTCTGGTATTTCCAGTCTGCCGGCTTAGCTGTACTCTAAAGGAGAAAAAAAAGAGAGGCTCAATTATTACAATAATCAAATAATCTCAAAACATAAATGATAAATCACCCAATTTAAATGACTCAATCTATGCATTTATTTATGAATTCAATAAAAGTTATTCTGAAATAAGCACATGCAGAATTGTAGTTTGTGTATGTGTAATTGCTGCTCCCATACATACTTCTTTCGAGCAAACTTTAAATGGGAGCTAGCAGAGCCCCACTGAAATCTAAGAACAAAACTATAATTTGTATTTATTTACTTATATCCTGTTATTGTTTTCATAAACAACTCAAGGCAGCAAACATATCTAATACTCCATCCTCCTCCAAATTTTCCCTATAATAACAACCCTATGAAGTGAGCTGGCCTGAGAGAGAGTGAATGCCTGGCCCAAGATCACCTAGTCAGCTTTCATGCCTAAAGCAGGACTAGAATTCACAGTCTCGCAGTTTCTACCCTGGTGCCTTAACCACCAGGTAGATGGTTCCACTTAAAGGTACCACTTAATGGCAGGTAATTTAGTTGAGATTGGCAACACAAATTCAATTAGTTAATTGTTCTTACCCAATACAGAACCTACCTTTGGATCTTGCACATCGTAGGTACGACAAAGTATTCGTTTCCAGTTAAGGAATAGTAACTAAGTGTATTTAAGAGATACTACAGTAATAAGAAGCACTTAACACTTTTATAATGAAACACCTCCCAGCCATCTCTAAAGATCTGAACTAAAACTCAGTCTGTTCAGATCAGATAATGCTTCCTTTTAGCTAACATAAGCAACAAAGAGAAAGCCGTACATATCCAGCACTGTTGCTGGTTTACGTGATAAAATACATTCTGTAGTTAAATACACACCATTAATATATCTATTGTATATTGATCCCTGACACCTCCCCCCTGCCACACACATATTTCATTTCCCCATCTCTGTTAGATCTTCAGCCCAAATTTGTTCTGAAAACTTCCAATCCTCTGGGCAGCACAACACGAAAGGATAGAGCCTGTCTTTGAATTGTTCCCGTAGATTTGAACATAGCGCATCAATATATCAGTTAACTACATTTTAAAAATAGAAGGTTGTTGAATTTTGCTTTTACTTTTACTGAGATCACAGGGCAGAGCTAGCTACAAAACAAACTAACCTTTATCTAATTTATTTGGAATTATTTGAATTGTATAACTGTGGAAAGGTAAAAGCAGAGGCAAAGCCTGAATTATAAACTGTAATTTAGAAAGAGCATAGATCGTCCTATATAGTCATATGAAGACTGATGCAACAAGGATACTTCTTTGTAGTTGAACAAAGATGAAGCGCCACTCTATCTGAGACATCTTCTTCTGAAATGCTCCACAATCTCTTTCTAGCTGCAGACTTTTCTATTGAAAAAAGAAGCTTGGAGAAAAGCAGAACAAGAACAGAGTCAAATCTGATTCTTAGGTACCTTATCTATCCTCCCATCATGGTGGTATAGAATATATTAAGCATATAGAGTTTTGTTATTCAAGCCTTTGTTGGTATAGCTCTTTGTGTTGCTTAGTAGAAATACCCAGTGCTTGTGGCCTTGGAATGGAGACAGATAAAATAACCCAAACACTTGTCCTTGAGCACCAGAATTTGGTAATAACAGATTGCAAAGTAAACAGTGATGTTTGCGTACATGTTGATAATATCAGGAAGGATACCACAAGTGTGAAAAGTAACAGTAAGATCAATCTAATAGTTTATCCAAGTATTCTAGAGGAAAGGGTGCTTTTATCTTTGAGTTATTTATTTGTTTCAAACGTTATTGACAATATTATATGTAATATAAAGTGAAGAGTGAGCTTGGTTGAGGCTCTTTTCCTGCAAGGGAGCATTTCATCTCTCTCTCTCTCCCTCTCCCTCTCTCTCTCTCTCCCCTCTCTCTCACCCCAAGGCAATCCATTTCATCTTGGCAACTTACATAATAGAAAACAAATGTAACTTGTAAAAATATAAAACAAATGTTTGTAAGTGAAATAAGAATAAAAATAAAACAAAATATTACTTTTATTATTTACCTTCCGCAGGATATTTTGGATTTCTTTTGCCAGCTCTGGAACTGAAATGATAAAAACACCAACAACTAGCAGTCCTCCAGGAAGCATTCTTGATACCTAAGCAAATCAAATGCAAACATATTATTACTATTACTATTGGCCTAACACTCTTGCTTTGAAAGAGGCAGTGATGCACCCATTCCTCAAGAGGCCATCCTTAAACCTGATGGTTTTTCATTATGGACCAATCTTTAACTTATTGAGAAGGTGAGCAGCCTGCACTTGAGGAGAACTGTGGAGGAAACAGATTATCTAGATGTGTTTCAGTCAGGTTTTAGGATGGGTTTGAATACTGAGATAGCCTTGATCACACTTGTTCTTGGCTTGTGGCAAAGCCAAGATGGTGTTATGCAACTATCCTTGTGCTCCTTGAACTCTCAGTGGCTTTTGATAGTCATAGTAGATGCTTAAGTAGTAATTTATAGCTAAACAGGTTTGCAAAGGTTCAGTTATTACTATGTCTCACAGCTGTCCAATGGATCTTCATGTCCTGGTCGTACCTCCTGCTCTGGAGTAGTGACTTGGTAGTTCCATTGCCAGCATCTACCTTCTAGGACACTGGTCCCCAACCTTTCTGGCTCCGTGGACTTGTGCTGGTGGCGGTTGCAAAGAGTGCATGGTTTTGTGCATGCACCCCTTGCGCAAATACAGCTTTGTGCACTCACCAACTGCTTGTGCAGTCCAGTTCCCAACGGGCTGCGGGCCAGCCCTGGGCCACAGACCAGGGGTTGGGGACCCCTGTTCTAAGGTGTACTTTATGCAACATCTGCTCCCTAACCTCAACATTTAGAGAGAAATATGGTTCTCACAATCTCTGCCCTTCTGCTGAGTAGAAACTAAAAAACAACAACAACCCAAAATGGAAATAATTCCAATAGTATAATCTTGTGAACCTAACAGAGGCATATGGCCACAGATTTCAGTCCTTTAGCTTTTCTCATTGCCTCATAGGAGACCAAGAAAACCACAGTTTATTAGAAGAATAAAATGATAATACCCATTTTAACTTTAAATATGCAGATATTCAGCGTTGGAATTAACCCCTTGATTAAAAAAGAAATCCAATGGTTTGAGAGCAGAACTCAGACTAACCAATCAGAAATCAGTTTGCCAAATTCAAATATAAGACCCTGGTCAGTCCCTTTTCCACTGTAAAGCGGCTTACTCTGCCTCTTAAGATGACAGCCATAGCTGACAGCAAAATATCAGCATACCAGAAAACTAGATCATGTCCATTCATCTCAAAAGCTCATCACTGTTTAAAATCCTTTCTACCTTCCCCAGATGGATATCGGCCTTATGTGTATATGAGAGGATATCTCATCCACTTGTGAGTGTCCCAGGCTACCTGGCAAGCAACAAAGCCATATTCAAGAATGCAACATGGCAGAGCAATCTGATTATATCTCATACAGCAGCACTTTTCGTGCGGCTGCTGATAAAAACAGGATTGCCAACATGATCGCCAACGTCCGATAACGAATATGGCACAAGAAGAAGAAGAAGATGAATGTTCCATGTTTAACTGTCCAAAAACAGCAGAAGGCAGCATTAACTTTAAAAAGAAAATCATTATGAAGCTGAGACAGGTTTACAAGAAAAGTACTTTTCTATGTCAAAGTAAGACAATTTTTATTACTTGTCTGGCATGTGCTGCTGTCCATTCTTCATCAATATTAGACAAGTTTGTATGGTGGTTTGCACTACTGTTACTTTCTTCCTCTTTTACAGGAGTTTGAATAGCCAGCAAAACATAGTCTCTTTGCTGGGTACACTGAAAAATAGAAAAGATAAAGTTGCTTACAGAACAAAAAACAGTCCATAGAGACCATTTAAAGGCACTTCTTTATACAATGGTGTCAACTGGACCTTCTTTAGCTTATATGCATTTCTAAGAATTCATTTATAGATTATCTGTGCAGTACATGTCATCAGAAACTTGAATCCAAATAAGAAATATAAGACTTAAAGCAAGTGTAAATAGCCACATAGATAAAATGACTAAAAACATTTCAAGTCCAGGGCTTCCAAAATACACAAATAATATTTTAATACTCTAGCTACCATTTGAAGCATTCAACAACATCAGTTCTGTTAACAATCACTAATAATCCAAGAAAACTATCCTAAAAATACATTAATGCAACAGATTGTGAAAAGAAGAATCAAAAGACGCTCTAACTATGCAGCCTATTTATTTTCTGTTTGTACAGTAAGGAAACCTCAATTTAAATCAGTGTTTCTCAACCTTGACAATTTTAAGGCATGTGGACTTCAACTCCCAGAATTCCACAGCCAGCAATGCTGGCTGTGGAATTCTGGGAGTTGAAGTCCACATGCCTTAAAATTGTCAAGGTTGAGAAACACTGGTTTAGATGATTCTTTTACATGACAATAGCTAAATTATTAACAGATACAGTGTTGAAATGATATCTAAATAAACATGTACAGAATTGTATAATTAATGAAATACACCAATAATAAAGATGTACATTGGTAATTGATGACATAACTGAAGTTGCATAGTATTTTCTTGTCAAACTGCAACAGAGGAAACATAGGTGAAAAAGTACAGCAGACTTACCTGCCCTATTAAAAGACCAGTAATAAGTCTTTTTGATTTAGCATTCAAGTCTGATAAATATTGTCCGACAGTTTCCTCCACGAAGTAGCTTCTTCCCATTATTACAAAGTCTCAATTGCCCAATCATAGAATGTGTAATAAAACTTTTATAAACGGGGCAGAAGAAGAGGCTCAGTAACCCTAGAAATTAAGGGAACAGACCTTAGATTTCTAATCTTAAAAACTCAACAAAGGAGAAATGCTACGTAGGGATTAGTATTATTGCACCTCATCGATTTTTTTTTTAAACTTAACTTTTCCATCTCCACCCTTGCAGCCTTCTTAATGCAGTTTCCTATACAGCAGCTGCAATCCAAATTACCTCTTTCGTTTTATTTCTTGTTTTACCGTAGTTGTCTTACTGTACAACTCCATCCAAAGTATCCACCAGATTCTTTCCTTTACTCAAGCACTGATGTGTCCTCCGTCCGTCATCTCTCCGCGCCAGTACTCGCCTTCCTCCAACAGGACGCACTCAGATGACGTAATCACGCACTTAATTGGACCCCCCCCAAAAATCCTTGCATTCCAAGCGTTTTCGGATTTTCTTATACAGTACTAATTCTTTTTCTTTCTTTTTGTCTCTTAGGTCAGAAAGCGCTGAAATAGCTGCTTCCTGCTTCTCCTGTGTCCTTTTAACTTTATATAAACATACGAAACCGCCCCTTCCAAATAAATTCCGCCGCATCCAAGATGGCGTAAGGCAAGAGGGCAAAAACGCTGGATGTATTTCCGGCGGCAGATGAGACATTTCCTTCCTTGGGATAAGAGAGCTATTTCTAATAGCTCGTCAACTGAGAGACTGTAGCTTAAGTTAGCGTTTCCCAACTTCATCAACTTTTAAGATGCATGGACTTCTAACTTTTAGAATCCAGCTGGGAGTTGAAGTCATTCATATCAATTACGGAAACTAAATCCTTCGACACGGCCCTCGTTGGTTTCAAATGCTGACATCCCCTCAATGCAAAAAAAAAATAATAAAAAAATTAGCCTTCCACATTTCCAAATTATGAATTTGGGTAAGCTGCTCCACGCGTCACTAAAGCGAAGCATCCCCATCCTATGCTACGTTCCACAGCAGCTAATTTCGACATCAATTGTAGGAATCTTAATTCCAAAGGTGTTTTTTTTCAGGAGGCAACTGGGCTTTCTTGTTTTTCTTTGAAGACGTTTCGCTTCTCATCCAAGAAGCTTCTTCAGCTCTGACTGGATGGTGGGGAATGGAAGGACTTATATTCCTTGCAGACCGCTGGTCATTTGCATTCTTTTAGAGCAGTGTTTCTCAACCTTGACAATTTTAAGGCATGTGGACTTCAACTCCCAGAATTCCACAGCCAGCATTGCTGGCTGTGGAATTCTGGGAGTTGAAGTCCACATGCCTTAAAATTGTCAAGGTTGAGAAACACTGTTTTAGAGTAATTGAGGTCATGTGGAGGTTTACCTATGTCCTCAGAGTCACCTGAGTAGTGCAAATGAGTGTGGAGTCTTCTTGGCTGCAGGATATTTTCTGCCCTATGTCCCTTTCACTGTTGAAGACAGGCGCAAGCAGTTGAGGGATGAATCTGCATTGTCTGCATCTCAAACTGAAGCGCAAATGGTTCCCGTAGTCTGCAATGTTTTCTGGAAATCCGTCCATACTCCCGCACCATTTGAAGGGTTTTCATCTCAAAGTGCATAGCTAACCTTTCCATTCCCCACCATCCAGTCAGAACTGAAGAAGCTTCTTGGATGAGAAGCGAAACGTCTTCAAAGAAAAACAAAGTCCAGTTGCCTCGTGAAAAAAGCACCTTTGGGACAACCATGACCTGGATGACCGAGAATCTCCATAGGCATGTAGTCCCAAAGGTGCTTTTTCACGAAGCAACTGGATTTTCTTGTTTTTCTTTGAAGACATTTGGCTTGCCTCGTGAAAAAGCACCTTTGGGATAACTATAACCTGGATGACTGGGAAGCTCCATAGACATAGACATGTAGGGATCCAAGCAGCTTGTTTCTAGCGACTGCTGCGCTTTGCGCGTGCGCCCTTCGGTCACGTGACGCGCTTTCCCAGCCTTCCTCTTCTACCCTTTCCGGGGGTGAAGACTCAAAAAAAAACCACGCACAAAAAAAAACGGAGGTAGAAGTGGAGAGGGAGGCATTTTTCTGCAGGCTGCCCAAGATGGCGGCGGTCCTGCAGCAGGTTTTGGAGCGCGCCGAATTAGTCAAGCTGCCCAAAGCCGTGCAGGGCAAGTTGGAGCGATTCCTCGCCGATCAACAGAGCGAGATCGACGGACTCCGCACTAGGCATGAGCGCTACAAGGTGGACAGCGGTGAGTGGGGTCGCGCTGCAGGGAAAAAAAAGCTGGGTCGGATGGGATGCGGCGGGCGCGGGCGGTCCATCTTTTCCTGCGTGAGCGTCGGGAAAAAAGTCGAAGGGGGGAATTGGGAGGATTCAGCCTGGCATCCTTTATTCTAGTGTGCTGGGCATGTCTACAAAGGGATGAAGCTAAAAGGGGAAAAACCAACTTGCTATTGTCTGTTGCATTGAATTTCCCTTTACCAGGAGCTGTGCTGGCTGCAGTGATGGATATTGTAGTCAGATACATTTGTATATAAAACATAGCACCTCATGGGGCCAAAGGCTACTTGAGCCAGGCTTCAATTTTTAACAGTAAGACGTAGATGCTGAGTTAGGATGTTGCCACTTTGATTGATCGTATTATACCAGATTTCAGCCAGCGTGGCTGTAGTTGTGTACAAACTTAGTCATATTAAGAGTTATTAAATTTTTTTACTAAGCCTTGTTGATATTGCCCCATCTACTTAATACTTTTAGATATCCATTTTCATAGTGAGAAACAACCTATGTGTCCCATCCTATGAAACAAACTTGGTGCCTTAAAGAGAAGAGTTAAAACATTGGTGTTCTGTTTTACCGTAGTTGCCATTTTCTTTCCTGTCCCTTCCGCCCCTCTTTTTATTGCATTGACCATAAGGTAATTGAAAGCGCTTGGGGGAAATCTTCAAAAGAAAAAGAAAAACCCGATCTATAATAAGTACAGTATTCTGTTTGTTGTGTATAGAGTTCTTGACAAAAACATTGTGTGATACCTATTAAAAATCAATATATTCTTTGTATATAGCATTTTTCTTTTTTGTAATCTGCCTAGAAAGTGAGTGGGCGGCCATATAAATCCTCCAAGTAACTAAATAAAAACTTTTCACCTGCTCAAAATATATGTGGTATTTTTAAAATAACATTGATTTGTTAAAAGCAAGGCCCTAGGTTGTATCCAGGGTAATCCATACATAAGATTAGATCCACTGGATAGGTATGGTTCCTTTATGTAAGTTCTACTTCTGAAAAAAAAATTAAGCTCTAAAGAATTTTCACACATTCCCAGTAATATTGCACATTATTATCTTCTGTTTAGAGCAGGGGAGAACTTGCAGGACTCCAGATGTTACTGAAATACAGGTTTCCCTTCTTATTATTGATTAAGGTGTACTGATTTAGATTTTTGAGTGTATCACCAACTTTCATTTAACTGAAAAATACCTACATCCAAAAAGTACAAATAACCACTATGAGCCATTAGTTTAATATTCAATATCCATTCTCAAAAGCTTTAAATTCTCAAAGATTTATACAGGTAGTTCTCGACTTACAATAGTTCATTTAGTGACCATTCAAAGTTACATCACTGAAAAAAGTGACTTATGACTTTTTCACACTTACAACCGTTTCAGCATCCTCAGTCATGTGATCAAAATTCAGACACTTGGCCATCGGTTTATATTTATGATGGTTGCAGTGTCCTGGGGTCATGTGATCACTTTTGCAACCTTCTTACAAGCAAAATCAATGGGGAAGCCAGATTCACTTTACTAATTCTGTGTTACTAACTTAACAACTGCAATGATTCACTTAACTACTGTGGCAAAAAGGTCATACAATGGAGCAAAATTCACTTAACAAATGTCTCACTTAGCAACATAAATTTTGGGCTCAACTGTCATAACCTGAGGACTACTTATATAGATGTGTTGGCTGCACTCATGCTTTCCCCCCATCAGAATTTTTTATAACTATGACTTGTCACACTTAACTCTAAACCCCAAACAAGTCAGATGTTTGGCTTGGCTGGGTATTATACTATACAATATCCATTATATTGCTTATATAAATATGAAGTTACCAAAGGTTGCTGTCTCTTTGATTATCTTAACAATTTTATTGAAATCGGTTTAGGAAGTAATCCTACACATACTATACTTACACAGATATCTAAACTTCCTTGATCATAATGTCAGGGGTGATGTGGATACAATTGGATTCTCGCAAACCTAGAGGAGGATTGTGTTCTGCCAACCTGAACTGTGAGGAAGAAATAGGGACAAATTTGGAGAAACAATTTAGATCAGGGGTCCCCAACCCCTGGTCCGTGGACCAGTACCGGGCTGCAGCATGCCAGCAACCGGTCCGCACAAACAAGCAAAGCCCCATCCGTGGGATGCAGGCAGGCACGTAACCAGTCCTGGTGCCCAAAAGGTTGGGGATGTCTGGTTTAGATATCCTAACTGGATATGGAGACATTAAAGCAAGAGAGAAAGTGGAACATGTAAAATTTATTTTTATCCCACCTTTATTATTTTTATGAATTAGTTAAGGTGGCAAGTACATCTAATATGTCTTCCTCTTCCTAGGCCAAAAGTCACCCAGCTGGTTTTCATGCCTAAGGCGGGACTAGAACTCATAGTCTCCTAGTTTCTAACCTGACGCCTTAGCCAATAGCCCAAAGGTGCAAAGGTTACATTTTTATTTATTTTCCTGCAAGGGATAATACAGTACTGAAGTATATTAATGGATGTTTTACAGAGCAACAATATTTTGAAGTAGAAAAACGATTGGCTCAGAGTCAGGAGAGGCTTGTTAATGAAACACAGGAATGTCAGAATCTCCGAGAAGAGCTCACCAAGCTTAGTAAGTATAACTTTGTTAAGTGGGTCACAAAATAATATTACTGTATTATTTATACTGACTGTATAAAATATTACTGTATTATTTATACTGACTGTATAAAATGTAAGACAAATATTGAAAAGTTTTGTTTTAGAAAATGAACAATGTGCTATTTCTTTATGATTCTAATCCTTTTTTATACCACTTACTGTTCCAAGATTTTAGGAGTGAAGACTGTAATTCTAAGTATTAAAGCTACTTTTCACAATAAATTCCCCTCAATAGGCCTATGTGAAGTCTCCTATATAAGAGGAATGTGACTTCCAGCTGGTGCAAAAGTTTAAAATTACACAAACCAGCAGTGAGGATTTTATAATGGAAAGTAACTTTTTTAGAATTATGTAGGTTGTCTGTGATTGAGGCATATTTGAAATGATTAGACAGCAGTTTTCTCATTTCAGTACTATAGATGTATAAGAATCTTAAGTCTGGGTATTTATTCCTTGGGATAGGAAATGTTATTATTTGGTCATGCTGTTGCTAATGAATGGTTTATTGTAATACAAACATGAAAGTAGCCTTCTTTTTGAACACTCTACAGATGAGCAATTGAAGAAGCTAAATGAGAAAAACAAAGAACTGGAAGGTGCTCAAGATCACAATGTGACCATACAGGTATGGGTGCTGTGTCAAGAAGCATTCAGAATTGGAATTTATAATTAGTGCCTATTTTGTATTTTTTTAATCCTGTTTTTATTTTTTTTAAATAACTCAAGGTAGTGTGCATACTTAATACTCTTCCCTTCTCCTATTTTTCCCACAACAACAACCCTATGAGGTGAGTTGGGCTGAGAAAGGGTGAATGGCCCAAAGTCTTCCAGCTGACTTTCATGCCTAAGGCAGGACTAGAACTTACAGTCTCCTGGTGTCTAGCCTGGTACATTAACCATTAGATTAGACTGGCCCTACCCACTGAAAATTGGTAAAGAGCAGTAGAAATTCAAGGCAACTTATCCAACCTTTAGTGTTCTACAGCCATACTATTTTTTCTTTGTTTTTGGAATATTGCCACTTTTATACAATTGTTAAATGGATAAATTATTTTATTTAAATAAATAAATGCAGCATTTTGCTGCATTTTCCAAAACTTTTAGTCATTTACCTATCTGATGAAATTGGTTTGGGATTAAATTATTTTCATGTAATCAAATTTTCTGGCTTTTTTTTTTTTAGCCAGCAAGAAATAAATAAATTGTAAAGTGTGAGGCTTGCTCTATAATCATTGACTTCAATTCATAAGACTATCGCCTTTATTCTATTGTTATTTTACCACACCCACTTATAGTAGAAATGGAGCCCAATATATTATCATAGTATAGCATAATGATGGAGGCATAGTATTACATAATGATGGAGGCACTGTACTTATGCTGGATGGATCTCAGTGTGATATGTGTGATCTTAGATCTGGGACAATTCCTAAAGATGCTGGTAGTTCTTCAAATAATTCAGGGGTGTCAAACTCGCAATGTCACGTGACATGTCACGACATATCATGACTTTTTTTCCATTGCCGGCAATGGCATGACACATCTGGCCTGCGGGCCGGCAGTTTGACACCCGTGAAATAATTGGTTTGAGAGCATAGATTAGAGAAATAGTCTTCAGAATTTTTAGTTGGACTAAGACACAACTCTATTATCTATTTTTGTAATCATTCTCTCATTCTCCACCTAAATTCTCATAATTATCAAACTTACTGGACATCAGCAATAATACTGAAGTTGTTTTTGTAGTAACTAGTGCAGTATTGGCATATCTTATGCCTCTCTAGAACCAGACAAGACTTTAAAACTCAAATCCAACCTGCCCAGTGCAGAAATTACTAGAAGTGTTGGGACAGATTCAGTTTCTGCTTCAGCAATGCTGAACTTGCCATTTTATGTTGTAGTTTGCATCACTAGCTGACAGCTTATTCAGTTAAGAATGGTTTCTAGATATCAAGTCTAAACTTAATTTCTGGTTATTTTGTTCTTTGGGTTCTGATTCTGCCCTAAGAAGCAACAGAGAATGAATCTATTCCTTCTTGTTTTCTTTTTGTTTTTAGAGTCAGCTCACCAGAGCAAAAGAAGAATTGGAAGCAGAGAAGAGAGATTTAGTCCGGACGAGTGAAAGAAGAGCTCAAGAACTAGAACATTTAAATGGTAAAAGGCTGTGTTGCAAGACTGCTTCAATCCTTCAGTGACTTAAAAAGAACATAGAGCACAGAGATTAAATTGACAGTAAGAATTTGTAAAGTTGGCAACCATTTAAGAAGTTTAATTCTTTTTTGAGCTAAACTTTAGAGACCAACCGAAATTGAACTTGAATGTTTACTGTAAATGTCAGGTGAAATAATATGGAATATTATTCAAACTATTACTGTGAAAGATATCAAGATGGTTGCATGGTAAAAAAAAAAATACAGCCAAAACCACAAACAAACATACTAGAAAACAATAGAAGAAGTTATAAATATCAAGAATTTTGCAGAGCTGCATAAACAAAAGTATTGAGGTTCACATAATTGCTATTCAGTTAAGTATTTAGTAGCAAAAGTAATTGCAATAAATATGATACCTTCCTAGAAATATCTGGAGTAGGTGAAAATGAGTTAGTGGAGATGTTAATAAGTCAACCTGGCATACTAGTATAAAAGAGGCAATACAGAAGCTGGACAAATGGACAAAACCTCTTCTATGCAAGGATGGTGTTAAATCTAGCAACCAGGATGGCAAAGAGTGAAGCAGAGAGTTAACTGTCTTTTTCCATGGCTGCAGTTGTTATCAGCAGTTTTACATGACCTCCTACAGCAGGCATGTCAAACTGTTGACTCGCGGGCCGAATGCATCATACTGAAACCGCGCCCACCCCATTGCCAGCAATGGGGAAAAATTCGCCCTATGTCGCGTGACGTCACGTGACGTCGCAAGTTTGACATGCCTGTCCTACAGGATGCTCTTATTGTTTACTGCCACCCCAATGTCTTCAATGATAACCTGAGATGATAGGTATTGCAGAAATCCAAGGAGTCATTTCCCCCTCCCACCCAGAAATGCTAATTTCTGCCAGAAAAAAAAAGTAACACGTCTAGAATTGATGTGACATACAAATTCTGTCAATAAATACACTGGGAATAAATCGTCAAAGAGAAGATTTCTTTCTTTGTTGTGCAGTAAACTGCTTACTGATTCTGTTGAAGGAAACACTCAAGAAGTTATTTTGATTGTTGAGAATGAGCAGTATGTGGGAAAGCAGTCAAGAGAGATTTTGCTTTGGAAGCCAGGGTAATAGATTATGCCTTGGTAGTTAAATTTCAGTGTCATCAGATGTATCATATACATCTAATGTTGTGAGACCTGGAAGGAGAACAGTAAAAAATGTGAAATGCCACCAAAGGCAACCAGCACATTGCAGTATATACCAGGGGTAGGCAACCTTGGCTCTTTTATGACTCGTGGACTTCAATTCCCAGAATTCCTGAGCCAGCCATGCTGGCTCAGGAATTCTGGGAGTTGAAGTCCACGAGTCATAAAAGAGCCAAGATTGCCTACCCCTGATATATACTGTATCAGGCTCAATTCAGAAAGTTGATTTTAACATCTGTTGTGTTAGCTCACTTTGGGCATTTTAACATCATTTTGACACATCTTATATGTGTTTTTTTTCTTTGCAGAGGATGTTAAACGTCTGAATGAGAAACTTACAGCAACAAACACTGCAAAGATAGAGCTTCAGTTAAAACTGGATGAGCTTCAGACATCAGCCCTTTCTGTAAAAGTAAGTATTGGGAAGTTGTGTGTGTTCAGCTGTAGACAGGAGGTTATCACAGATCTTCTAATATCTAATATCTTATTTCATTTATTCAACTATAAAGTTAGGTATATCTAAGACTCTATAATGATTCTCTCACAACTGAAGCATTTTATGTTATGAAAAATCGAGGATTTTTATGACATTTGCCTTTTTATTTAAAGCTAAAAAATGGCACTAATGTGATATTACCAGAGGGCATAGGTTTGAAATTTTGGGCCCTGGGTTTTTGCTTCATTCCTTTTGATTTGATTTTTTTTTTTTTACGTAGGCACGTTAACGTTTTCAGAAGCTTAAATTCCTGCTTTGCTTGTTCTTTTCATGTCCTCCACGCTGGGTCAGAATCATGCCACTAAATCTCAGTAGCTTGCTCTTAGAGAACAAAAGCTATGGAGAAGAGTGCCTGTAACCAGCATGAGGTAGATAGGCAAATTCAAAATTTAAAAAATGGATAATAAGTCACAGCAGGATTGTGTTTGAGTAGCTTATTTGAGTTATATACAGTACATACCTAAGTAATCCTCATTGATACATTCATAAATAGCCCAAAGAATTATTTAACCATAGTTTACTGAATTAGCTAAGCATCAGACATATCATAATATGTGTGAACCAAGCCATTGAGTTCAGTTGGATATCTTTCTGTGTAAAACGTACAAACTCTATTAAGAAACTGCATAGGCTTGATATGAAGTGCCCCCAAATCTATCTTGATAGAGCTTCTGTTCTGTATATTGTATATCTTTGAGCAACTTCTTTAGCACTTTTAAAAAGTGTGAAATAAATACATTTCATATACTTGAAAATTATATTTACAGCACCGTGAGCAGAGGTGGGAACAAGAAAAGGAGCTATTGCAGAATCAGAACGCTTGGCTGAATACTGAACTGAAGGCCAAAACAGATGAGCTTCTGGTCCTTGCTCGAGAAAAAGGAAGTGAAATATTGGAGCTCAAATGTGGCCTGGAGAACAAGAAAGAGGAGGTAGAGGAAATCAATTTTCAATCAATCAATATTACTATGGCGGATCAGGTGCTTAGACTTGTAGACCCCTTTTAAGGGATATCAATCAAAGTCACAACTGGAAATGTTTCTTGTACATAAAATATTCTAATTCATTATCATGTTCTAGCCTTCCAACTTGGAAAGCTCATAAATCTAAGAATGATTATTTATATTTATCTTGTACCCCTCCTAGGTTTCTAGACTGGATGAACAAGTCACTGGACTAAAACAGTCTAACAACAATCTACAAAAACACGTGGAGGATCTTTTGGAAAAATTAAAAGAGGTAAATTTAACTGCTTGGCCTTTAAACATTAAACCAGAGAGACAACTTTGCTTTCATTCATACTTTTCCTATAAAGGATCTTTTAAAGCTTACCACTCCCCCCCCCAAGAAACGATGTATATAGTTTCAGAGGTGAAGTGCTTTTAGTGGTTTATTATGCATATACAGGTAGTCCTTGCTTATTGACCACTTGTTCAGTAACTGAAATTACAACAGGGCTGAAAAAGGAGAATTAAGACCAGTCCTTGATATTGCACCCATCACAGCTCGTAATCATGTCATCACATTTCAGGCACTTGGCAGCTGGCACACATTTACAGTAGTTGCTGCATCCCCTGAGTCTCTTGATTGCCATTTGCAACCTTCCCAGCTGGCTTCCAAAGTCAATGGGGAAGCCAGCAGGAAATTGCGAGTTGTAATTATGTGATGGCTCACTTAATAACCACAGCTTGAATTAACATAAGTTGGCACAGCCATGTGATGCTTTCCTTTACAACTATATTGCTTAGTGATGGAGTTGCCAATTCCCGTTGTGGTCAGTAAGTGAAGATTATTTGTATTTTTGGAAAAATGCAGTGAAACGTATGGCGCGTTTAGATCATGTCTATCTAAATCAGTGGTTCTCAACCTGTGGGTCGGGACCCCATTTGGGGTCGATCGACCATTTCACGGGGGTCGCCAAGCAAGGCTGTCCGCCATTTTTTCCCCCTTTTCCGGCGGATGCCTTACCTCCCTTGGGCTGGGCCAGCTGGTGGTCGGCCTGCTCTGTCTCTGCCGCTTGCCAGCTATGCCTCGGCCGGCGCAGGGGGCGGAACCACGCATGCACGGCGCTCCCAGGCAGGGAAAGTCCTCGACTTACGACCGGTTGGGTAGTCCTCGACTTACGACCGGTTTAGTCCTCGACTTACGACCGGTTTAGTCCTCAACTTACGACCGGTTTAATCCTCGACTTACGACCGGTTGGGGTCACGGCATTAAAAAGGTTGAGAACCACTGATCTAAATACTATGGCATTTCGGAATACGTGGAAGCAACAGTTGGTGGAAAATTAGTTGAAAACTAAGTCATGTTACCAGTGTTAAAGACTTTATCCTTTATTCCATTTTAAAGCATTCAGAATTTTTAAAGTATTGAATTGTTTTATGAGTATAAGAATGTATCGGTTGTTTTATCTTTAATTGTTTAGAACTTTAGAGATTAAACATGTATGTTAATTTTTTTAGGCAAAAGAGCAACAAGCTAGTATGGAAGAGAGATTCCACAATGAACTAAATGCTCATATCAAGTTATCTAATTTATATAAGGTATGATTTTGCTATTTGTTCATGATTTCATCTTCTGTATTTAGAAGAGGAGGCATGTTATCAGTTTGGATCAGCAGTGGTATCAAATTGCACTAATTGCATTTGCCATTAGGTTGCTGATGGCCAGTGATCCCTCTGTTTTCCTGCTGTCCTCCACCCTCCCTGCCCAAAATAGAAAAAAAAACATAGGGGCTGATTAGTAACTGCTACCGTGGGGGGAAATCTCAATTCTAGTTGGTTATATTGGGAAACATGTCCTTTTAAATGGTATGTTTATTGCAATAAAACAGTTAATAGAGCCCCTGGGAATTATTTATTGGATAAGCTTTAAATTATATATGGGTCAAGCTATAAATTGACATAAATTGTGGTATTCGAATTACATAAACTCGGCCCATAAAACATGCTAAGCTAAAGGACAGATCATTTTACAGTTAATGTAATGTGTAAATTCTGCCTGCATGATACATTCGGCATGGAAGAAAAATTCTTGCTGATTCCAGTTCTGCTCCAAGTGATAGGGGCTTTGACACCATCTGGGGACTGGAGAGAAAGGAGTTAAACTCTATGTGAAATATCTGGTGTTACAGTTGTATTTTCCATGAGAATTTCCCTCTTTTTTCATTATTAAATTAATTATAGTTAACATGATAAATGTGAAGTGCCAATACTAATTACTTGATGAGCTTTACAATGGCCAGATTTATACTTAAGCCTGTTTTTAATTATAGCCATTGAATAAACTGCTATGGTCTAATTCACATAATATTAAGGTACAATGGGTGGACTTAAGAATCACACTCAACTGAAAGCAATATTATTTATCAGATGTTTGAATCCAGTGTTAGTTGCAGGCAGGATTTATTTTATTTGGTATAACTACTCTACAGTGTTTAGCTTTTGAGGTTCTTTGCAAAGTATGGTGTTAACTTGTACTAATTTTTAAAATTTGCAAGATTTTGCTTGCAAAAATTTACCTAAAATTGGTGCCAAAGTACGGTTAAAAATAATCACTTGTCAATACTGATGATTGTACAGTGTAAGATTAATCATGGGTAATGCTGAAAGGGGGACAGAATTTAGAAGAAGTATCTGAGCTTTTTAAGGTATTGTCCTTTCCAACATTCAAGAGAATGAGAAACATTAAAATGAGCATTGAATCTGATTGTGACTACAGTCACTTTGTCATATTGATAATTTGTGGACAGTGAGACACTTCCAGTCTTATGGATTATAGTTCCTAATAGGAAATGCAAAACATACCAGACAATCAAATACAACTGTCTTCTTTTGGTAAATTGTTCTGAGCTGAAGGATTGTGCCTTAATCTGTATCTACTTCGTGCAATAAATTGCCAAAGGCCCCCTTTTATAGTGTATAATTACCAGCATGATCTTGAATAATTCATGCCAAATGCCATAATGGCAAATATATTTGATTGCTACTACTAATTGCCAGGTCATAGATAACACTTCCATATCTGCTTTAGGTGGAAACACATGTCTGCTAAATATATTTTTTTTAAAAACAGACAGACATAGACTTTAATCTGGGGCTATGATTTTTATATTGTACAAATTCCACTTCATGTTCCCAGCAGTATCTTACAGGTTTCAACCTGTGTCCACTTCCATAGGCTTTAACCTTTAAAGAACTGCACATTTTTTCTTAGTAAATATGACTATCTCCTGGCTCAGTTACAATACATTGCATTTAGAGTGCTGCGGATGACTTGGAAGCAAAGAGTAATGAGTTGACCCAAGCTGTGGAGGAGCTGCACAAACTTCTCAAAGAGGCTGGTGAAGGTAAGGATTATATCGTTGGAGAATTTCGAATTTTGCTTGAGGCTTTATCACTTGTCCTTGCTGCTTTTTGCAATCTGCCAATTAACATTTGTTGAAAATCAAGTCTAGGCCGCAAGTTACTTTTAAGTATGCCAAAGAAGGACAATATGAAATAAGTCACTTTTTATATCTTGCCAAAATATGGCTTGTCAGAACGACTGTTACTGTTTAAAATGACAATAAAGCAACATTTTAAAAATTAGTGTTGGCTTAAAGTTCAGAAATTTTTTTCACTTCCCCCCCAAAAAAATCTATGGTTATAAAAAAAAAGCAAGACATAGTCACAAACATCATAAAATTCCTTTTCCATTAAAAAAACCCAACTATTTCAACTGTTCACCTTACTTTATTCTGTTTTTGGCTTGCTCGTTTTCAAAAGACATTTGCTGTTTTCATTGGAAAGAGGGAAGATACTGTTTGAACAATGCGAGTCCACATTTTTGGTCTTTCTTTTAGTTGACTACTAAAGAGGCTGTAGTAGTGGAATTATCTGCCTTATTGTCGTGAATTGCATGATCTTCCATCAAACATGCATGTGACTCTTGCTGTCAAATGTATTTTTCTGCCATTCTTAGCTAACAAAGAAACACAGGGTCGTTTGGCTGAGATGGAGCAAGCAAAGGCTGCGGTTGAAAAAGAACTGAAGGAAAAGATTAACAAATTGGAGAAAGAGTTGGACAACGCAAATGATCTGGTTTCAGCTACCAAGCGAAAAGGTCTGGTAACTTCTAGGGAAGGGGCAGTTTAAAATTTGGGACACTTAACATTACCGTTAACTGATTAACTGATTTCATTGCAGTAACTATGATTGTAGTACTAAAAATGAAATAGCTAAAAAATACTTTGAAAACAAATTACTGTCCTAGGTGTGATTTTTTTAAAATTACTGTCTTCCCCTTGTTATAACAGGAACATTTGTGAGCAATATTCATGGCCATTTTTGGTTTTGTTAGTGTATAAACTAATAATCTCAATTGGTAGTTTGCAAGAATTATATTAATTGAAACAGTGCAAGTGAACCTGACTTCTGAGTAAGGCTATGCAAAGATCTGGATTCAAGGGAAAGAGATGATTTGGATTGTACCATGAGCGCACACATACCTCCTTAAATCAAATGCAAATCACTCTTTCCTCTTCGAATCAAGGTTGCTGAATAGTTCTAATTAGTGGAGTCTGCACAGTTTCCTAAATGTCTTCATTCGAACTATAGTTTAAGATTGTTTCGTGAGTACCTGGGCTTCTTTTTGGACATAGGGGCTCTTCTTTCTAACTTCTATTGTGCAGCCAGGAGAAGTTCAAAAGGTTTTGGTTAATATAGTTTGCTATATAGTGTTGCCCAAGAGCTTCTAGTAGTTAATGTCAATCATGGGTAATCTTTTTGATACTCATCTTTGAAATTTCCTTAAATTAATCCTCATTAAACCTAACCAGCATTTGGAATGACCATACAAAGGCTTTGGAAATCTTTCCGGTGGCACGTTGGATAGAAAAAGGATTAGGCTCATTCCATGCAGCTGGTGTCGTTTGGGATGTCTGAGCACAATTAATATGGTAAAAATATGTGAGAGGCAGATTGTTTAATTAGATTGCTTATTACATTAATGGCCACCTTTTAAAAGTGTGCTGTGACCTTAATCTTTTCTAGGGGCCATACTTTCAGAGGATGAGCTGGCAGCTATGTCTCCTACAGCTGCTGCTGTTGCAAAAGTGGTCAAGCCTGGTATGAAATTAACTGAGGTAGGAATTAAATCGATGATATTTGTACTGTTTACAAGTTCATGTATTTGATGGTAACAACATTCCCAAGAATAGTGTTTAAACAGAGATTTTCTTTCAATGTCAACAAGGTGTATTTGGGATTATCCTCATCCCTGGCCATAATCCACATAGAAAAAGGAAGAAAATATATATAAACCTAGTGTTCTTTACTAAGAAATGTGTTTTTACTAATATTTAAAACTGGATTATAATTTACAGAAGTACTTCATTTTGGACAAATTATTTGTTACTGTTTTAGATTCTTTCTATCTATGTATAGCAGTGTTTCTCAACCTTGACAATTTTAAGGCATGTGGACTTCAACTCCCAGAATTCCACAGCCAGCATTGCTGGCTGTGGAATTCTGGGAGTTGAAGTCCACATGCCTTAAAATTGTCAAGGTTGAGAAACACTGATGTATAGGCTGTTAGGGAGGCTAACAAGTCCAGATTGATTATATAGGATGGTTAAAGCCTCTCAAACACATAAGTGAATGATACATTGGGGATAAAAATTTGGACAGGATTATTTCCTATTTTTTATTCATTTACTACAGCTTTACAATGCCTACGTAGAAGCTCAGGATCAGCTGCTTTTGGAAAAATTAGAGAATAAGAGGATCAATAAATATTTGGATGAAATAGTGCAGGAAGTGGAAGCCAAGGCACCCATTCTGAAGCGTCAGCGAGAAGAATATGAACGCTCCCAAAAGGCTGTAGCGAGTCTTTCTGCTAAACTTGAGCAAGCTATGAAGGTCAGTATGAAACTGAAGGGAAGTTCACACACAAAATATAACAACCTTTACGAAGGTGCTCTAGGATCCCATACTGTTTTTAAGCAATATACTATACATTGGCAATTCATCAACTTCTGATTTCAGACAAATATTTATGGAGGATTTATAGTATACATCGATCTAAGAAAATGATCACAGAAAACAGATTTGGGGGGATTAGACCTGTCCTTTGTGATAAAGAGAATGTTGCTTTCAGTGGATGGTAACAATTTAGATTTCATGTAGAGGTTTCTGATTTAAAAGTTTCATAAATAAGAATATGTACATCCATATAGATACAAATGCTAATATTGTTCATGACAAACTTGCTTTTTCAGTGGTAGACAGTATGTTTATGTTTATCTAAACAAACAGTGCAACAAATGGTGTTACCACTCATCAAGATTTGCTCTGTGTGCTTTCAGTGATTGTGTGGCTCAGTGCTGTTAGAAGACGCCTTAAAATTCTTCTGTAATTAGTTTGTCAAGAATGTGGCAAAAATTTGGAACAGATAATCAGTGTATAACCTAAATGATTTTTTTTCCAGATCCATCTACTTATGTTGTTTTGTTTTTCCTCCATGTTGATTACATAAACAGTGACCTATGTTGATAGGTTAGACCAGGGGTAGGCAACCTTGGCTCTTTTATGACTCGTGAACTTCAACTCCCAGAATTCCTGAGCCAGCATGGCTCAGCTTGGAAACCTCTCCCTTTCCCCTCAGCATGGCTGGCTCAGGAATTCTGGGAGTTGAAGTCCACGAGTCATAAAAGAGCCATGGTTGCCTACCCCTGGGTTAGACGGAACATACTCCTATTTTAGAGTCTTCTCAAACTCTGAGGGCATTTTCTTTAGTTGGCTACATTCTTGCTATCTATATTCACCTCCACAACGTGAAGAACCATTTTGTCTAACGCTCTATAACTGTAAAATGCTTTATGCATGCTGCTTTTCTCTTGGCATCCCACAAGCAATTTAAAATGTATCTTCTGAATTTGATTACTACTCTTATTTGAATCAGTCCATATATTTTATTAAGTTAAGGGGATGTTATTATTTTATATTAGCTGCTTTGAGATGATTTTGGTGAACATTCGTATAATATAGTAAAAAAAAGTAATGCTCATTTATTACAAAGAATAAACTTGTAAGCGATATTTGTCATAGCATACTGATTAGTAATAGTTGGGTTGACTGAGATGATATTATGAAGATAGAAATATAACCACTTTCCCTATTAGCTATACAGGAGTGTGAACAGTTTACTTCTTTATATATTTGAGCAACTGTTATCATTAGGAGCCATTATTTGGGAATAATGGAGAGATTTAATTTGCTTGTTCTAATCTATAATATAGCATTTACAGAATATGTTTAATTTTTTTCTTTTTTCTCTTTCTAAGAAAATCAGTTAAACCAGCAGTCCCCAACTTTTCCGGCTCTGGGGATTGCCAGCAGAGGGGGGGAAGGAGATATTGACACACATGCTGCACGTGCAAATGGAATTTGGCACACTCTTCCATCGCTTGTGTGGCCCGGTTCCCAATGGGCCGTAGACAGGGGGTTGTGGATCCCTGGGTTAAACTGACTGTCATAAACCTATTTATTGCCTAGTCTGATACAAGCATATATGTTAAGATCACATGAATCAATATTTTTCTTTTCTTTATTTTTTGCAAATATTAAAGATTTTCAAACGCATTGACCAATTTTCAGTTTTAGTCATGCTTAACTTTGGGTTACAGGAAATCCAGCGCTTACAAGAAGAGGCTGATAAAGCAAACAAGCATGTTTCTGTCTTTGAAAGAGAGAATCAGAGGTTTGAAATTCAGGTCAAAGATCTTTCACAACAGGTTAGTTCTCTAGACTATTTCTTGTTGAATCTCGTGATTTGAAAATGCAGGTAGTCCTTAACTTGCTACCCATCACTTAATTGAAGTTATAACAATACACACATCTATAAATGCTTTTTTTATTGTGAAATTATATCTGTAAACCTTTCATTCAGTAGTAAATGGGAACTGTTGAGCTCTTTAATACAAGCTTTGTATATAGTTCTACTCTCTGTTCTCTCCAGATGCCTTGTTAAAATAGACTTCCTATATTTCATAGGACGGGTCTTCAAACTTGGCCCTTTTATGACTTGTGAACTTCAACTTCAACTTCCAGAATTCCTCAGCCAGGCACATTCTGGGAGTTGAAGTCCACAAGTCATAAAAGGGCCAAGTTTGAAGACCCCTGCCATAGGAGGAGGGTGAAACACATAGATGAACCCCTTGACTGAGCCAACCTGCCAATGGAATAGAGTTCATCTAATACTTAACAACAAAAGAGGCTTGGAAAGGAGAAAGTAGACATGGAAAGAGAACGAAGCTTAGGAATGAAAAAAATCCTATTTTTTCTATCAGTTGATTCCTGACCTAAAGGGAAAATAACTGGAATAGTCAGATATTTGGTTATTCGAACTCAAGAATAAATAACCTATGGGCCATGTATAGCTCCTAGGCCTCCCATTAACCTTCAACCGCTAGAATTCCCATTGTCAAATTTTGATAGCAAAAATGACTGAATGTTGGTGTGATTTTGATCAGTTTGGAGATGGTTTTAAGGATGGATGTCAAAACCACTAAAAAAGAATGGAAGGTAGTTAGGATTTAATTATGCTAACTAAACATTCCTGAAACTTGAGTAACTCTAGAAATGGGTTTGTGGGATAACAGATGATACCCTGTAAATTTGAAAGAATGGAGCATATGTATTTATTTGATGGCAGATAGAGTTCTACAGGGTGAATAATCTATTTTTCTGTTTGAAGATAAGAGTATTATTGATGGAGCTTGAAGAAGCCCGAGGTAATCACGTCATCCGTGATGAAGAAGTCAGTTCTGCAGACATCAGCAGCTCTTCTGAAGTAATAAGTCAGCGCCTGGTTTCCTACCGAAACATTGAGGAACTTCAGCAGCAAAATCAACGCCTCTTAATAGCTCTTCGAGAGCTGGGAGAGGCAAAGGAGAAAGAAGAACTAGAAACCACTTCTACCAAGTACGTTTCAGCTTTGGCAATGAATTTGGAACACCAAGATTTGGTGTCTAGAATCAAGGTTTATTAACATTGCATTGGTGTTCAGGTAAAAATAATTTTATAAGAGCTGTCTAAATTAATCATGGTAAAATTTAGAATACATGTGAGTAACCCAATTTTCAGGATCTCTTCCATTCATGTAAAAAAAACGGTAGCTTCATCGTAAGTCTTACATGTTTTCTGTAACTTCTATACTCCATTTATTTATTTATTTATTTATTTAATTATTGAGAAGAAGCAGGGGTCTTGGTTGGCTTCTCAGATCAAGCTTCAGATGCATACTCACTGTTTCCTTCTTGTATCATAGCTGCAAACTTACACTTTTAGTTAAGTTTCAAAAAGATAGCATGAAGAAATATGGGCAGAAATGTTTGTTGAACATTTTCTCAATTTAGGTACTTCTCAGAAACTCTGTTCTGCCCATTTTATAAGCAAAAATCACAGTGTACTAGAGGAGATAGTTCATACCTCTTCTTTAAATTTAGAATTCTACTAGTGCAATTTTATTCCTGGTTTTTTTATCATTCCTCCATTTTGGCACCATAACTTCTATATTTTAACATAAATAACTTTTTCTTGCCATGACAGGATTTCTGAGCTCCAGAATCAACTTGGAGAAGCTATAATTGAGCTAGAAAAGCTGCGTGAGGCACGGCACCATCAAATGCAGCTTGTAGAGTCCATCGTTCGTCAGCGTGACATGTATCGGATTTTGCTGGCCCAAACTACTGGAGTTGCCATTCCATTGCAAGGTCAGAATTGGACAGGCTTTCTTTTATTGATGTTTTTCTGAACTGCAACATTGCTTTGGGGAAAAAAATCCTGTCTGGCCTTTTCATCATTAACAGCAGTCACAATGTAGATTTTCACTATGGGTTACCCTTACAGAATAAGTAGTACAGTGACCTAGCGATTAAGATGCTGGGCTTGTTGACTAGAAGCTAGACTCAAGCACCATGTGATGGGGTGAGTTCCTATTCTTGTTCCAGGTCCTGTCCATCTAGCACAGACATGTCAAACATAAGGCCCGGGGGCTGGATGCAGCCTGCGAAGTGGTTTCATGTGGCCCATGAAGCCATCCTGGAAACAGTGAGAGAACGGCCCCCGCTGCCTTGGCCCTGGCCCAGGCCGGCCAGGAGCCAATGTACAATTTTGTGGTGGCCATCTATGCTGAAATGCATTCAGTCTTAGCTCCACAAGGCCGTCTAGAAACAGCAAGGAACCAGCCCCTGCTGCATCGGCCCCGCCCCCTGGGTGCATGCTGGGGAGATGTCACCCTTTGTGAGGAATGAAGAAATGGACCATGCCTTGGTGTTTGCCCGGTCCCACCCCCTTCTGCCAGAGACCCTCAGATCTGTCCCACTCCTGCCCAGGCCCCCACAGGCACCCTTGACGCAAACAGTGTAGAGCTGGCCATGCCCACCCAGTAGGCCACACCCACTCCATCCATGCCCACCCAGTAGGCTGCACCCACCCTGGCCACACACCCCCGGCCCCCCAAGGGCAATCGCAATGCTGATGCGACCCTCAATGAAATTGAGTTTGACACCCCTGATCTAGCACTTTGAAAGCATAGAAATGAAAGTAGATAAATAGGTACCACATTGGTGGGAAGATAACAGTGTTCCCTGTGCCTCGGCATATAGTCATGCTGGCCACATGATCACGGAAGTGTCTTTAGAAAACGCTGGTTCTCTCAGCTAGGAAACAGAGATGAATACTGCCCCCTAGAGTCGGACACAACTGGACAGGGGAAACATTTATCTTTTTCTTTTCTTTTTTACCCTTACAGAAATAGAATAATAGAAATAATAATTGTTTATTTTTTAATTTGATTTCATTACTTTATTATTCTGAGAATTCTTAGAACTATAGTGCAAAAGAGAATCAAGAAAAGCTGATCTAACTTTATGATGTTATTTTTACGGGGTTTGTTTTACATGTTTGCATGAAAACAGGAAAGACAGAAAACAGACTTTGGCCTTTGATTTTAAGCAATCAGACAGACTTTGTTTTATATTTGTTTTTTGTTTATTTTTTGTTTAATGGTGTTGTTTAAGCCAGCGATCCCCAACCTTTTGGGCACCAGGGACTGGTTCCATGGAGAAAGGTTTTTCCCAAAGACAGGAGGGGGTGTGGTTTCATGTGCTGCCTGCATCTTTCAGATGGGGCTTTGCTTGTTTGCGGTAGCCCAGTTGCTAGTATGTTGCAGACCGGTGCCGGTCCATGGACCAGGGGTTGGGGACCCCTGGTTTAAGCTATTATACATGTAGCTAAGTACTAGAATCTAACTAATCTTGTAAAATGAAGCAGGTCTAACCTAATTAGCACATGGATGGGAATCACTAGGAAATAACAAAGCTGCAAGCTAGGTTGATCAAATTCCATAGGAAAGCAAAAGCAAATTATTTCTGTCTTTTTGCCAAGAAAATTACATATGTAATTGGACTTTAGGAAGCATTCCCCTTTTATTCTGTTGCATATTGTAATGGTGATAATTTCATCAAACTATGGAGCAGGTTGAATTTAGTCTTTTTAACTTTGAATGCCGGAGCTAATGAATACGTCACTACATATAACATTTATGTAGAGGTGCACAAGCCCATCAAAGATTGCTACCAAATGAATTTTAAATGTGACAGAAGGGATAAACTATGAAATACACGAGTAGAGAGTAACTACGTTAATTATATTTGATTCTCATTACATTTAGATATAAATAAATGAATCAAGATTTATTTTTTGTCTTGGCCTCCACCACTTTTTTTTTTAAATTGATGCTAGTATGTCTTTTGCCAACTAAAATGTTTGGCAAGCTCATGATCTGGCCCATGCATGAGACTGACAGCTAGCATGCTCAAGTGGTTTGATTCTTAGTCTAAAACAAGGGAGCTTGGGTTCAGTTCTTCAGCCAGTTATAAATCTCTTTAGATCACCTTGCCTCAGGATTTCTCTTGCCTGACTTCAGTGGGATGTTGTGAGTTCAGGACACTGAACTCCATACAATCTCCATGGAATTATTTTTTTTTGTATAATTTAGCTTCAAGCATCTTGCCTGAGGAACTGACATCAACCCCTAAACGCCTGTCAGGTTCCCTACCTGCTTCAACTCCAACTTCAGTCCCAGTGATCGAGTCAACTGAAGCAGCAGAAGCAAAGGCTGCCCTTAAACAGGTATGGGTTTTTGCCTTTCACATGCTCACAAAATCAGACATGCTTTTCTTCCGTCTAGCCTTCTGTTTACCCCTCTACGGTTTTGTTTATTTCACGCACTTGACAGCTGCAGGAATTTTTTGAGAACTATAAGAAAGAAAAGGCAGAGAATGACAAGCTGCTGAATGAACAAAATGAGAAGCTTCAAGAACAGGTTACTGACTTGAAGTCACAGAATACAAAGATTTCTACCCAGCTTGAATTTGCCTCTAAGCGGTAAGCCAAAATCAGCAACATTAAAAGAAGTCCCTTCACAATTGATTTAGCATGTTTCGCTACTAATGAGAAAATTCCAGTTATCAATTTGCATATTTCTTGGATAAAAGGTCTGATAATTGTGCATTTGAGCATCAATAGCACTAGCAGTAGACTTGTATACCCTTTCATAGTATTTCACACCCCTCTCTAAGCAGCTTACAGAGTCAACATATTGCCCCCAACAATTTGGTTTCTCATTTTACCAACCTCAGAAGGATAGAAGGCTGAGTCCCGTCAGAATCAAACTGCAGGCTGTGGGCAGAATCAACCTGCAAAACTGCATTCCAATCACTGCACCACCAAAGCATTATCTAAGCTTTGGAACTGGGAATGCCATATGATTGGTTTTTATTGTTTCCACACACCCCCCTCTCTATTATCTTTTTGGCTATACCTGCAGCAGCATGTTGGTGATGATGGTTAGTTTCAAGATACTGTTTTCAATATGAGATTGTATTTAACACACATGGATACACTGTGCCTAGTGAAAGGCCCAAACCCATACCAAATAAATGTATGTTTTCTGTTCCCCCTCATGGAGGGAACAATTTGGATGGAAGTGGGAAAGGCTGAACAGTTCTCATTTATAGGATAGAATGCAGTTCTCTATAATGTCTGTCTCACCTATTTTCAATAAAGAAAAGGGTGGTTGAAATTTAAACCATAAGGCAAAAACAGTATGCAGATCTGCTATTTCCAAATTTTGCTTAAAAAATATGCTAGTTCTGTGTCTGCACTAGTTAATAATCTTCATTTTCAGTGTTGTCTAGCTAAATTATTATTTTTTCCCTTGGAGTTTCTTTACAGTATTGTTATGTCGTATAATGGAGACATGATGGGAAAAGATAGCAATGGATCATCAAGTTTGGACCAAATAAATAAGAATTCCTTAGTCCTGCAGATTTTTATGCGTTTGCTGAAATAATAAATTACTGCATTTAATTTTAAGATGTGTTTACTTAGTACCTGTTGCATATTATCAAATTGCTTTTATCTGATTTTTGCTTTCATACATTAGCAAATTACTATAGGTGGTTCCCATATTATAGATATAATTCTGAAATAATTACTGGAATAAATACTGGGGGGGAAATTGTTCAAGACTTTAGGATGTTGTCTGTATCTGTTTGAATACGTCATTTCTGAATTCAGAGTGGCAGGCTACTTTTAAGTATTCTCAAACACTAAAGTGACCCTCATTCAAAATATTTTAATGAAGCTGGAATAGAATGTGTGGGTGCATGTGTGCGCGCCCCATTCCCTCGAACCCTCCTCTAGTCCCCCTCAAAAAAGAACACCTCAGGTTATCTGAATGAACTTGGAGATTCTCCAGTGGGTATGACTACAGAGGAGAAAAAAAAGAAATGGAAGAGGGATTGATTTATTTCATATATAAATACTTTATAAATAATTTAATAATTTTTATCATAATAAAACTACTCTGCTACTACTAGAATGGTTGAAACCATGAATAGAAAACATTCTCCATTATAACATTTTTAAATCATTAAAGGTGCCCATTTATTTATTTATAAAATGTATAGGCTGCCCATCTTACAGAATCTTCCCCCCCCCCAAAATTCTTACCCTTGTTTGCTCCCTGTACATTTTAATAAGACTTTTTGTTCTGATTTTCCCCTTTGCTTTTGTTACATCAATTTCAATGGAACAAAACCTTCCTGGTTTTCATCCTGGTGAAGTTATGAGATGTTGCAAGATAACGTAGAGGGATATCGGCGAGAGATCACATCACTGCATGAGAAAATTCAAAAGCTGTCAGCAACTACTCAGAAGCAGGAACAGATCATCAACACGATGACTCAAGAATTAAGAGGAGCCAATGAAAAATTAACGGTTGCAGAGGTGATTGTTACTGGCTATTTTTTACATTATTGTTTATTTTGTAATGGCAAAGACTTCTAATAAGCCTCTTTTAATTTTATCCCAATTTGGAGGACATGTTTTGTTTTGGCTATGGAGGAATCTAAGGATTGAAATACATTTTTTCTGCAGCAGACTTAATTGGATGGACCATCCAATTAATATCTGTGGCTTAGGGTGGAACTGTGGAGTTCCTGGTGCTCTCTGAGCTTGGTGGTTTGCTTACATTACCCAAGTAAGTAACATCATTAGTGATGTTGCTACTGTTTTGATCAATAATTTGGATCCAGTGCATAGACATTTGGCCCAAGAGATCCAGCTGCAAATCTCCTTTCTGCCATGAAAAGTCTTAAGAATATCTGAAAGGGCAACTTGTACACGTGCAATCTCAAAGTTGATGACATATGAAGTTTGTCTATACTTGCAGACTGCTCTCAAGTCTACATTGTAGTTGTCCCAAATGTTTTGAAAGGAATTCTCTTCGGAGCCAAAAGCCTTAACTGCTTTGTTTCCTTTTTAGACCTTGAAAATGTAACTCTTTGAACGTACCTTTAAACACAGATCGTTTTAATTATTCTAACTATTTTTAATATTTTTAAGTAATTGGTGTGGTTGTAGGTTTTCTTTGAAACAGCTTAAGAGTAAACAATATATATTCTTAAAAGTAAGAGTAATATAAGCCAAATTCGAATTTGGAAGTAATGTGAAATAAATATACAAGCATAATAAAATAGGCTTATCATTACTTTTCATTAAGCTGACATTCTTTGGAATATTGGCTTGTTTGTACAATGTGCTTATACATGCTGATTTGTTCCTACCTGGCTCTTTCTAAAGTTTCTGTAAGTCTGATTTGTTGGAAGAAAGCAAGATAGATTCCTTTAAAAATATCAGAGACAAATAACCAAGTGGAAGGTGTATAATAACTTCATGTGATGCCATACCCTTTCTAGAATCACATTTATCTGTTGTCTTCTACAGAATTGTTTACATCTTCCTACCATTATACCCCCCAAATTAGAAATAATAAAGGAACAGAACTAATTAATCATGAGTTGATTGATCCACTTTAACTTGATGTATTCAGATGTTGAACAGTGAATTTGGATTTAAAATACTACGTGGATTGAATTAATGTAAGATGAAATATCTCTTTCTAAGGTGAGAGCAGAGAATTTGAAAAAAGAAAAAGATATTTTAAAAATGGCCGAAGTTCGTTTGACTCAGCAAAAAGAATCTTTAATAGCAGAACATAGAGGACAAAATCTGCTCCTTACTAATCTGCAATCTATTCAGGTATGTTCAGTTGTATTGCATTATTTTTTTCTCCCTATTCTCCTCAAAAATGTTTCTTAACCTTGGTGACTTTCAAGACACTGGGAGTTCACATCCCAGAACTCTGGGAGTTGAAATCTACATATCTTAAAGTTGCTGTGATAGAGGAAACACTGTAAAGATATGGACCAAAAACCTGAAGCATCATTTGTCATAGTTCCGACATATACTTCGAGGCATTGTTTACCTTAAAGAATCTTTATTTGAGTAGCATAGCATCCGCACTAACACAGTCGAAGCCAAAAACTGGATTCCCCTCCCCTGAGCACATAGTATCAAAGCACAATTCCCTCCTCCAATTAACAGTCATAAATCACATTCTCCAATTAGTTTGAAATGCAGGCTCTCCCTCCAGTTCTCCAGCCCACCAATTCTTATCATCTCTTATTTCATTAACCTTGGTTCACACACTAAGTCCAGTATTATTATGTCTATCCAAACACTCGTGCACATTCCTCCCCCCCCAGCATCATCTAATTCTAAAAGTAAAACATAAGAAGAAAATCATTGCATCTCTAACTGTTGTCAAAGCAAAAACATCCAATGTTAGCAGCATTGAAATCATTAAGTTCTACATGCTACTGATCTGTAATGCTGTTATTGGTTATGTTTGGTAAATATGAGCAAGATTTGGCAGAAATACTACATATTAAAATGTATTTTACTTACCAGGTAATTTTGGAAAAGGGAGAGACAGAAACTCGACAGAGGCTCAATAATCAAATTGAGAAGTTGGAAAGAGAAATAGCCCAGCTGAAGAAAAAACTGGAAAATGAGGTGGAGCAAAGACACACACTTTCCAAAAATCAGGATGTAAGTATTAGAAACTGAAGGAATTTAGATGTTCATATGACTTTCTGAGCAGTCATTTTTAATAGGAAGCCATCTAGTCATTTATAATTCAAGATACTATAAATTCCTTATTTGGAAGTTTATTTAAGTTCTGGAGGACTGGTTTGGTTTCTTAAGAGTATACAGAATGGTAAAACAAAAAGCCAAAGATTCCTTACAGCTATTTTGGTTTTATTCAACAAAAGGAATATAATTTTTTTTAAAAAAATAATTAAATGAATTTAATTTGATGCAGACTTAAGTGAACACATTTAAAACATATTTCCATCACAATGCTGACGTAGGAACCTCTTGCTGAGAGGATGAGCAGGAGAAAGTCTGTTTATGGAATAGAAAAGATTAAAATAACTTTGCATTTGGAATTATCCCACTTTTGGGGGGATGGAGGCGTATTAGTGGATCTCCGACATGACTGTTTGAGTTCTGGCACAGGTAGTAGATATTTTGATCATCCCTGCCAGCAGTAGGATTTTTTTCCCTGCTCCCGCTTCTGTTCTATTTGTCATCTGGCATCATAGGTAAGACAGGATCATGCCAAGACACATTATGTACACTGTACTTGTGATGTTGCGTAGTGTGATCATCTTGTAAAAGGATTCATTGTATCTGAGCTAGTATATCTCTATTGACTTCCAGCCCTTTGTGGGCTGCTGTAGAATCATATGTTTTTCTCCTGCCTTTCAATTCCCTTTCCTTAAGAGGGCCAGGGATTTACAACAGCATTCTCTAGCCCAAGGTTTTATGCCAGTGGAAGACAAGATAATATTCTCTAGATGTTTTGAATTCTAAGTCTTGTAGTGCTTTTATATCAGTGGATGGATGCAGTGTTTTGTACCACACAAGTTATCACATGGGCAGAAAGAATTTCAACTCTTTTATATGTTGGAGTAAGAAGTTTTTAATATTTATTTAGCAATGAAAAGGTGACAAGTTTAAATGTTCTGTTTTGAGAGAAAAAGCCAAAACAATCTTGACATTTAAGTAAAGAGTGTGCTTTCAGCTATTTTCTCGGAAATTGAAGTGTGGTGCTTTGAAGTAAAGTACTATAATGTTCCTTCTCAGATTCACCTCTTGGATGCTAAAAGACAGTGTGAAACTGAAGTGAATCTTCATGCTAACACCAAAGAACTGCTGAAGAATGCTCAAAAGGAGATAGCAGCGTTAAAGCAGCAGCTCCACAATATGGAAGCTCAAATAGCTTCTCAGTCATTGCAGAGAGCTGCTGGCCAAGGTAAGGGTACCCAATGCGAATACGCGGGGAGAAGAACCTTAGCAGAATGAGCAGAATTCAGTGTGCCAGAAATATTTTGAAGAAGCTAAATATAAGGCTTGCATGATGCTGTTTTCTGAGGGATTTTTAATACATCTTCTAAATGGTGCAATTCAGATTTAATTTGTTTTAATGTTGGCCCCAAATGACAATTGGTGGAGTGTAAAGTCCTAAGCCAAGTATGTGCAAGCCATTCAAAGATAAGGAAAAATATACAGATATTCTTCACTTAACAATAGTAATTAGGACCAGAATTTTCATTGCCAAGTGACATGGTCCTAATGTGTGTTGTTTAACAATGGCAATTGCAGCTCTTGTGCAATTTGCTCATTAAGCAAATTGACATGGTTCATAAAGTGGTCCTCATTTGCAGCTGCCCACCAGCTTCCCCATTAACTTTCCTTGTAAGAAGCTGGCAAAAAAGGTTGCAAATGGCAATCACAGAACACTGCAAAGTAATTGTGAGCTGGGCCCCCAGTGCCTGAATTTTGATCATGTGACCATGGGGACCGGTCATAAGTCCCCGTCATTCAGCTCTGTTATAAATTTGAATGGTTGCTGAATGAGTGGTTGTTAAGTAGGGACCCCCTGTATACTGTTTTGTGGAGGTTGAAGATATTGCAGTAGGCAGAGCATTGTTGAACAGGCAAAGCTATAGCCTATGCAGTGGTAGATTGACATCTGCCAATTTTCCTGGTTTGCGGGGAGAGGGGGGAGTATCTTTGTTGGTTTACAAACTGCAAATCAGTTTTTGGCTTTGTATGATGAGTGAAATGGCTACAACTGATTTTATCTGTTTGCCAGCTTTAAAAGCCCTTACATTTCAAAACCTCCTTTGTTGATAGTAAGTCATTCTTCTTTTATGTTAAAAAAAACCCTGTGAATAAATATTGAAAGTTGTGAATCAGTTGAGAAAATATTATTTTTTTACTCAAAATGTACTACAGATGCGCTATAAATTCAGTTCATAAATCCTTATTTAATAATTGCTTCTAAAATTTTAGGCCAATCTAGTGTTGGAGAGGATGTGGATGATCTTTTAAGTCGATTGAGGCAATCTGATGACCAAATTAATGATTTGAAGGAGAGGCTAAAGACTGCCACAAGTAATGTGGAGCAATACCGTACGATGGTTGTGAGCCTTGAAGAGTCCCTTAACAAAGAAAAGCAGGTAATCTATTTTTAATATTATCCACTAAATATAATTCAGCTATGGAACTATGTTTTCATGATGAAATTCCACATGAAAATCTTTTCATTGGGACCTGTAACAAGACAAAAGTATTCCATTTAAGGTTCAAAAGACCACTTGGCACGTCAGTCTTGCTCCTGATTAACTACAATTATTTTTTGTCCCCTACATCTGATCCTAGACAGTTTTGGGAATAAATGGCTGTGACCAGGGTTGGTTCAGTTTTTATTAAGTTATTCCAGTATTCTTTTATGGAGAAGTATTTCTGAACAATTTCAGAATGTTGAAGCCAGATTGCCATCTAATGAAAGGTTTCCTGGTCATATCATCTATATTTTGTTTCAGTAATACTGAATGCCAGTTTGCTTTCAGATGAAATTCAGAACATTAGTCTTTGTTCTTTGCAAGCTTTAAGCTAGAACTAGCCAATCCTTGCTGGACCAGGACGTTTACTTAGTTTGGCATGAGGAAGAATGGAACGATCAAGTCTTTCAGTAGTTGGTTAATGTAAAGTAGCTGGTGGAACATCTGACACATGGATTGGGTTGGCATTTTTGGCTGTTTTTTCCCCTTGATTTGGAAGATGGATAGGGTTTCTTTATTTAACGGATTAAGCCAACTTTAGTCTTGAACCATGGTTCACATGTATTTTATCACCTCAGAATATCAAGTAACAGTTATTCATTGGTCAGAAAGGCTTTTGAAAATACAAAGCAAGCACTTGGGGAAGCTGGGTTTGCCCATCTGTACTGTAAAAAAAATGATATATCGAGAACACATATTTTTTCATACATCAAGACACTTTTTTATCCTTTCGTATTTCATTTGAAAACATAACAAACGGTAAAGAAAGACAGTCAGCTTGACTTTAAAGTGTGTTTCCAAAATGATCTGTATTTCTTTTGCTAAAGCAAAATACTTCCATTTTTTTAAGGCTCTGGATTAAATTAATTGTTTTGCTCTAAATTTTTGACTGGTTAATTGTTCTGTTTGGTTCTTTTCAACATTGTTTTTCAGAATGTAGTAGGCCATCTTGATAGCAATTAACAAATAAATAAGACGTGAATGTTTCGTGCCAAAATTGCTGTATGTCCTGTAAACTGGTTTAACTTCATTGGATGTAATCCCTTGTAAGATATATATGCTCTCTGAATGCCTGCTGTATTATATGCATTGACTAGGAAAAAATAAAAGATATAAGCTTTCATAAGGCGTGGCTGACTTCATCAGATGCTGTAATATGCCTAACGTTTATATTTCTCTTTCTATTTTTTGTTGATTGAGTCAGATGAATCAGTTGAAACAATATATTTTCAAAATGGGATAAGTGGTAATGCTGTGAGGGCATTGCCTTTTTCCAAATGTTTTATTTATATAGGTATTTGGCTTGTCTTTGGAACTTTAAAGCACGCTATTATTCCATTCATTTTTTTCAGACTTGTTTTATACTTGAAAAATATTCCTCGGGCTATGAGCAGACTAGCTGTTAAGTCAATTTGGACTACAGAATTGTCTTTAAGATACATATATTACACTTTCCATGCTGAAGAAACAAGCAATACAATTGCAATGATGCATGCCTCTTAATATACTCCTATCTTGATTTCATTTGCTGTGTAGGTGACTGAAGAGGTTCGGGCCACTGTTGAGGCTCGCTTGAAAGAGTCCTCAGAGTATCATTCCCAGCTAGAGAAGAAACTAATGGAGGCTGAGAAAGAAAAACAGGAGCTTCAAGATGAAAAACGTAAAGCCATAGAAAACATGGAACAACAGGTATAACAACATGATTCTTTTCTGCCTCAGACTTTCTTGTTATTGTACGTAACCAAAAAAGAAAAGTAGCACAGGAACAACATATAAGATCTTAAGTGTGCCTGTTTTGGATTATCATTTTTTTGTGTTCTTGTTGAAACATTTTGGTTTCAACAAAGTTTGCCACATAGTTCAAGGACTGGCTGATCATGTCCATGTTATTTTAGATGCTGAGAAGTTGCTCTGCTTTTATTTGTCATTCTGCACATATTGTATTATGTTCTTACAAAGAATTGCAGAAGAACTGAAAATTAAGCACTTTGTTGCTCGTCTAGCACAATTAAGATAAAACTGGAAATAATAATTTTTAACAATTTCAAATGTTCCTCCGAAAACATTTTCTTTAGAAATCATGTTACAAAATGCAACTGATTCTCTTCTTTGATGGAAAACTCTAATCCAGGGAAGCTTTCTGTCAGAAGAATGAGGGAAGTAAAATTTGGCCATTTTACTATCGCTGCAATTTCAGCTGGGAGATTTTGGAAGTTATGGAAATTTAGAATGGGAAGAATGATTTAATGCAGAATTGTTTCCCACACTGTTCTATCAGCATCAGCTGAATGCGGTTATTGGAATATAAATAGGTTAGCAATTGGAATCAAAATTCCTGAATATAGGAATTGTAGACATGGAATTGCAGGGTTAAAATACTGGATCCATACATTTGCTTCATCTGATATGATTCATTCATATTATGTTCTCTTTCTGAAATTTTCTCTGTCCACCACTCTATCTCTATTTCTCTTGGCAGAATCAGTATCTTTGTATCTCTGTCTCTGTCTTTGGGGGTCAAAGACTTTGCCTCTGGATTTTTGAGTATGTCTGGGATTGATATAGCTGGTTAAGGGTTAAGTAGCTTGGTAAAAGAACATCCAAAATAAAAAAAAAAGTTTTTAAAAGCTAGTCATGGTTTCTTTCTCTTGTTTGCTTTCCAGATTATCCATAATTAAAACATATAATTTTAATTTACTAATTAAAATTTGTGGCAGCAGAGAAAGGCTGCACAAAAGGATTTAGAGACCCAGATACTTTTTATCTGCAGTTTGTGTTCCTCTACTTTTTAGCTTATAGAAGAATAGAAAAATTCAGTCAGTGGTGGCTTCAGTCATTGTGTGTTCAAAGGTCTAAGGATTTATAGGAAAATTTGTATTTCTATGTCTGTTAAGAATATTGGATTTCCCTTTCCATCTGACTGCTTCTCCTGGAGCTTGATCTTTTACAGATCAGAAATCTGGTGTGAGAAAAGCCAAATTGAAGTATGCTGAAGGGTTAGCAAATGGTTGGTTGTAGATATGGAAAAGCATAAATGTCTCTTGATACACTTTTAGCCTGATAGTTTGCAGGCAGGCAAAATCTTAAAAGTTCTTAGATTCCTCTATAACTGCATTAAGAATGGGACTATCTTCAAGCAGAAATGTATTAAGGATATTTATTTAGTAAGGAGTTTTATTGTCTAAAGTGCTGCAAATACTTGACCTTAAGTCCAGGACAATTTTTTAAAATATGTTTTATTGGGTTTTTTTTTACATATCACCATCAATATTTGGTAAACAGTGTGTTGTCTGGGTTTGTATTTACAAATAATACCAATTAGTTTCCATAGTTCCATATTCCACATAGTAGCTTTCCTTGATTTTCTCTTCTTCCAATAATATTCTCTTTTATCAACCTTAAATTAGTACATTTCTTGATAATTTTAGAAGATAACAATTAAATATCTACAAATATCCTCCACCTCATTATTAAGCTTCTTTTCTAATTAATCATCTAGACCATCTTGTCATAGATCCTGTTTTTAGAGTTCTCATTTAAATTTATTTTCCCCACAATATTCAAAAGAAAACATTTTTACCAGTTAAAATTTTCTTAGAGTTAATTACACTTATATATCGAAGTCTTTTTCCTCATATGAACCATCCCAACACTTACATTTTTATATCTTGAAACAGAAAGAACAAAGGACAGAAATAATATACTGTCTAAAAAAAACATATCCGTCTTAAACTAGAATACATTTATAATCAATGTTTCATTTTTTAAGCATATTCAAGTCTTCAAAATCCATTATATTTAAGTATTTAGTACATTTTCCTCATATAAATCATCCCAAACGTTTTTATATTTCTCATATCATAGGCAAAAAATACTATATTGCTTAAGGAGTCAGGACATTTTTATCACTGTTATTTTATACCTAGGTCTATACTATTTTTTTTAGATAAGCATTTAAAAAAAATATATTGATCCTTGATGCTTTATTTGTAGCTTTCCGAGTTAAAGAAAAATCTCTCCAATATGAAGTCTGAACTTCAGGAAGCTCTCCAGAGAGCAAACACAGCCCTCAGCAATGAACAACAAGCTAAACGGGACTGCCAAGAGCAAGTAAGGTTCTAAAATGTTGGCACACATTTGCAGTTGAATTAAGTATTGGTTAAATTGGGTAGATCGATTAGAGTCGCTTTTGCATGTCAGTAATAAGTGTATATCAATTATGAAGAAGGCATTCTAACCCTGAAATTTTTCCCATTTCACAGATGTTTCAAAATTAAATGCTCTGTTATTGTTGCTGTTCTGTGATTTGGAAATATTTTTTTCTTTCTTGAGAGTCTAAAAGAGATTTAGTACATCATCTTTTATTACTACCCACAGATCCCTAATAAATCAACAGGGGGCTTTTTGGCCACCCATTATGTTTTCATACACATAATTCAACGGTGATATAATATGCATGGGGTGCGCATAGAACATTGGACTGCAACTTGTACATTAAGTTTCTGGGAGTATCCACCTATATATTATTTCTGTTTTGGTATTATTTGTTCTCTGCATACTTTTCTTGAATAATACTGAACCCCATTATTTTCTCCTAATGTAACATTTATGTCAAAAATTTTAGGGGAACATTCATGGTGAACTTGGTGTGACTCATGGTGATTTTGTTTTCTGCATAGATATATTTGTATTTCACTTAGCAAGTATAAAGCTCTTATTTAGGAAGCAACCATATCTATACAAATAAAAATGTAAATGTTTGTTTGTTCAAAATCTTAAATCTCCAAAAGTTCTTCACTGATTGCTTTGAAATTTTGACACAACGTTGCATTCGAATATGTGCGTGTTTTTATATACCTATATTATATAGATGTCACACCTGTGACAGGTAAAAACATGCTTTTTTTGAAAAACAGCGCCATCTGTTGGACGCTTTGAAATTGCCATTGAACATGCAATTCATTGAAACTCCCACGTCCACGTGCAACATTTCCAAAGCATCCAGCATGAGAAAAGTATTGCAGAAATGCAAACTTATTGTTTGGGATGAATGCACAATGGCGCATTGAGACTGAGCCACAGCAACGCGTGGCCGGGTACAGCTAGTGCAAAATAAATCATTGAATTTGTTACAAACTCTGAAGCAACGATCATTCTGGCTTCTTATAGGCAAAGATAGCTGCTGAAGCTCAAAGTAAATATGAACGGGAGCTGATGCTTCATTCTTCTGATGTTGAAGCTTTACAAGCTGTCAAGGAGCAAGTTGCAAAGAATTCCACAATAAAGCAGCAATTAGAGGAAGCAGCCCAAAAAGCAGAATCCACCTTGCGAGAGAGCAGAGCTTCATGGGAAGAGCGAGAAAGAGCATTAAAGGTACTGATTCTAATAATCTATGACAGGTTTTATGACTGTGCCTAGTCTTTGAATTCAGATTTATTTGTTTCAGCTTCTGGGATGATCAGTTTTGATCTTCTCTCTTAGGATGAAGCTTCTAAGCTTGCATCTCGCTGTGAAGACTTAGAGAAACAAAGCCAACTGTTGCACGAACAGCTGGAAACTCTGAGCAACAAGATGATGGCTTCAATGAAGGAAGGTGGGCCAGGAGCCCTGAATGTGTCTCTCAGTGAAGAAGGAAAATCACAAGAGCAAATGGTAGAAATTATCAGGTATTGTTGTGTTCAGTATGTTGATCTAATAAGTTTTGATTAATGCTTGCATGGTACCTGCATACATTTTGCAGTTCACTTTGCATGCAGTATGTGAGACATTTAACATGAAAATATATTAGGCCCGTGCTAGTAAACAAATAGGAGCACCATGATTGTCTGCACCTTCTTTGTCTTGAATTTTTACCCTATATGTTCTCTGCCCTATTTATCTACTGTGTTATAATAGAATAGAACAGAACAACAGAGTTGGAAGGGACCTTGGAGGTCTTCTAGTCCAACCCCCTGCTAAGGCAGGAACTCTATACCATTTCAGACAAATGATTGTCCAGTCTCTTCTTAAAAACTTCCAGTGTTGAATCATTCACGACTTCTGGAGGCAAGTTGTTCCACTGATTAATTGTTCTAACTGTCAGGAAAATTCTTCTTAGTCCTAGGTTGCATCTCTCCTTGATTAGTTTCTATCCATTGCTTCTTGTCCTGCCTTCAGGTGCTTTGGAGAATAGCTTGATTCCCTCTTTGTGGCAGCCCCTGAGATATTGGAATACTGCTATCATGTCCCCCCTCGTCTTTCTTCTCATTAAACTAAACATACCCAATTCCAGAAACCGTTCTTCATATGTTTTAACCTCCAGTCCCCTGACCATCTTTGTTGCTCTTCTCTCCACTTTTTTACTGGATGCAGTATTCCAAGTGTGGCCTTACTAAGGCATTATAAAGTGGTACTAACACTTCACATGATCCTGATTCTATCCCTCTGTTAATGCAGCCTAGAACTGTGTTGGCTTTTTTGGCAGCTGCTGATCATAGGGAACTATGTTTAAGAGATGAATCCAAGTTCCCACTCAAAATCTAGTTTTTATATCTTATTTGAGGTTTGACTATCTCATGTACATATATACTCACTGATGCAAGCTGCCCAGGACTGGGAACACAATCAGACTTTCATTCTTCATTCCAAAATAATGATGCCATATTCAGATCTAGAGTGCCAACTAAATCCCAGTTTTGGTGAATGACACGCCTGGCTTCCTTCTAGAGGTCTACATTTAAATTTCAATATTTTTATTTTAAATTGAAATATCTCAATGTTTTTAGGTTTGTGGACCAGAAAAACCATCAAGACTTATTTTGAAGAGCTATAAATTTAACTAGGATTTTTGTTTTTCCTATATCAGGTTTATCCGCAGAGAAAAGGAGATTGCAGAAACTCGATTTGAGGTGGCACAAGTAGAAAGCTTACGCTACCGCCAGCAGGTGGAACATTTAGAAAGAGAGCTGAATGAGCTGCAGCAAAGTCTGAATGCAGAGAGGGAGAAAGTACAAGTATGTATCCACACATTCCTTCTTATCGGTTTTTTTTTTTTATGATGGTTCTGAGCCAACCAACAAACATTACAACTTTTTGCAAGACCGCAGTTTTCAAGAAATATTGCTTTAATAAAATCTAGACCAGGGGTCTTCGAACTTGGTCCTTTTATGACTTGTGGACTTCAACTCCCAGAATTCCTCAGCCAGGCATGCTGGCTGAGGAATTCTGGGAGTTGAAGTCCACAAGTCATAAAAGGGCCAAGTTTGAAGACCCCTGGTCTAGACAATACCACTGACTTTGTTTAAGGGGATTCTCAGTTATCCCGGTCGTGGTTGTCCCAAAGGTGCTTTTTTTCAAGAGGCAACTGGACTTTCTTGTTTTTCTTGAAAGATGTTTCATTCTCATCCAAGAAGTTTCTTCAGCTCTGAAGAAACTTCTGGGATGAGAAGCAAAACGTGTTCAAAGAAAAACAAGGAAGTCCAGGTGCTGCCTCTTGAAAAAGCACCTTTGGGACTATCACTGACTTGTTTTCAGAAATGCTACTTTTGCTACATAAAAGAATTCCAGATTACGTGAACATGAAAAACTGAATTAATGGTTCTCTGAAAAATCGTGAGATTTGTCTAAGAAGGTGTATAATTGGGGCCAAGTTCTCTTGGAAGATGGTTTGTTTGTATAGAATAATGGTAAAACCCAAAGTGCCTGGTTGACATATAATAGTTGGATATGAACATGAGTACACAAATGTCCTAAAAGTTTTGTTAGTACATAAGATTCTGTAGCAGAAAATGCATGCTATATAAAGGAGAATATAGGAGGAGGAAGCAGCTCAGTCCTCTAGGCCTCATGGATCTTATTAAAATCTAAATTATATTTCATGTATGACCTCAGTTTGGGAGTTCATACATGTTTTACATATAGTTTAGTGTAAATACTTTGTGACATTAATAAGTAATCATTTCTCAAGGAAATTTAACAGTGAAAACAGAAAGCAAGTTCGGAATTTGCACATATATTTGAATTTGATTATTGCGTTGTATTGTAGGTGACTGCAAAAACAATTGCTCAACATGAAGAATTAATGAAGAAGACAGAGACCATGAATGTTTTGATAGAAACAAATAAGATATTAAGAGAAGAGAAAGAGAAATTGGAACAAGAACTTCAGCAAATGCAAGCAAAAGTTAGTATGAATTTTAAATTTGTCCTTGACGTCTCTAAAACCAATTCTCTAAATCGGCCCTTTGGTTACATTGTTATAAATCTGTGATTTTCATTCAGTTCAGAACTCTAAAAGAATATTGCACTATTGGTACTTCTTTTTTTTAAAAAAAACACTGTTTCGTTCTTCTAAATTTTACAGAATGAACAAGGTCCGCTTATTGATATGTGGAAAATTGGAAAATATAAAAACTCCTTTAAAACATATATCTGTCTACAATTACAACCCACAGTCTGTTTACCAACAAATGGCTCATATATTAAAAGATATGAGGCAACAAACTGTTTATTCACTCAAGCAAAAAACATGGTTGTATTTTGACTACATGGGGAAGCAATGCTCTGAGTAATTGTCTCCAATGATGATTTCAGGTACGTAAGCTGGAAGCTGATATCTTGCCTCTGCAAGAATCCAATGCTGAGCTCAGTGAGAAAAGTGGGATGCTTCAAGCAGAGAAAAAGTTGTTGGAAGAGGATGTCAAGCGATGGAAAACCCGGACTCAGGTGAGCTCCTTTTAGATTCTAGAGCAGTGGTTGCGAACCTTTTAGAGACTGAGTGCCCAAACTGCAACCCAAAACCCACTTACGTATCACCGGGTGTGGCCAAGGTAGGCGTGGTCACCTTGATGTTGCTCGTGGGGAGGGACACCTGTGGGGGCAGGGTTAGGGGAGATCCAGGGGTCTCTGGCAGGTGGGGCAGGAGGCTCGTCCTGTAGGGCAGCGGTTCTCAACCTATGGGTCGCGACCCCATTTGGTGTCGATCGACCATTTCACGGGGGTCACCAAGCAAGGCTGTCCGCCATTTTTTTTCCCCTTTTCCGGCGGGTGCCTTACCTCCCTTGGGCTGGGCCAGCTGGTGGTCGGCCTGCTCCGTCTCTGCCGCTTGCCAGCTATGCCTCGGCCAGCGCAGGGGGCGGAACCACGCATGCGCGGCGCTCCCAGGCAGGGAAAGTCCTCGACTTACGACCGGTTGGGTAGTCCTCGACTTATGACTGGTTTAGTCCTCGACCTACGACCGGTTTAGTCCTCGACTTACGACCGGTTGGGGTTGCGGCATTAAAAAGGTTGAGAACCACTGCTGTAGGGTAAGGCGAGGCAGGGCGGGGAGGCCATTGTCGCAGGGCAAGGCGAGGCAGGGGCCAGGGTGGCCGCTGCCTGACACCATCGGCCCCCACACACAGAGGCCAGCCAGCGCATGGGGGCCGACAGTGTCCGTCAGCAGCCACAGCCTGCAGGCCCCTCGACCGGCACACTCTGGGGCTCCGCAGTCCGCCACCAGCAGTTCAGAGAAGCCGCCTCTGAGCTGGACAGCCAGCCGACAGCTGAGGAGGCAATGCAATGGGTCGTGCCCGGGAAAAGGAGAGCATGCGAGGCCAGGAGGGATGGGACGGGAGGGGGAGGGAAACCAGCCGTGCTCGGATGCATCCGGCCACGTGGGACCTCGGTGAGTTAGTGGGCAGCTGATTGAAGAGGGACGGTTACCATCTCCGGGGCATGGCACGAGTGCCCACAGAGGGCTCTGAGTGCCGCCTCTGGCACGCATGCCATAGATTTGCCACCACTGTTCTAGAGCATGCATGACATCTCTATAGAATTAAAAACAATTCCTTTCTTAACAACGGTTGAAAACATAGGAAGAATGAGGCAACAAAAGAAAAAAGGAGATTAATAGTTACTGTCGAGAGTTGTGAGTCTGTATATATCCATGACACACATTTTGCTATATAGAAAAGAATGAAATTAAAAGAGAGAGCAATTAAGGTATGAAAACGCTTGAAGAATGAGATCAATAATAAAATGTGAAAAGTTTCATGGGAGAAGATTGCTTGAAAAAATAAGAATAAATAAATAAAACTAAAGTCATGAAAAAATAAATAAGTTAGTCTTTAAGCTTTCGTAAGACTTTTTCTTCTAAAGTATCAGTTATAAGTGGTGAAGAAGTAGCAGAATATATCTTGGTGGGGGTTTTTTGTCTGCGTGTGTGTGTGTGAGTGAGAGAGAGAGAGAGATGTAAATGGTGTCCTTTTCTCCAGCATCTTTGCCGCCTTTGTCCAAGCAGCAGTATCTCTTACTGATAGCCTATTTTTGAAATATAACAACAAACCTCACTGGGGAATGCAATAATCCATTTTAATAAGGTTAAATAAACCTTCTTACGTATCAAATTTGTACCCTAAGTCCCCAGAATCTCTGAATGTCTATTTATAGCATTGGTTCTTAGTATCTAGTTTGGAAGAAACCCGTTGGATATGATCATTATGATCCACATCAGTTTTGGTTTTACTTTTACATTCTTTCACTTTCTGCAATGCACAAGTAAAGTAAAACTATATCTGCCTTAAGTTTAAGATGGTTTAATGTTCTCTTCCAGCATTTATTAAGCCAACAAAAAGATGCAGATGTTGAAGAATATCGGAAGCTTCTTTCAGAGAAGGAGGTGAACAACAAACGCATTCAGCAGCTAAGTGAAGAAATAGGCAGACTTAAAGCAGAAATTGCAAGGTGATTTGTAAAGAACGTCTTGTGATCTGGGAAACTGGGATACTGTGAGATCTTTTCTGAAAACTAATATTTTGTATTCCTTTATATGAGCTCAAAACATGTTTACAAAACATTTTACTGATTTTAATCCATATATATATATATATATTTGTTAAATTTTTACTTGTGGGGAATTAGATGTCCTTGTTCCACTTGCCTAAGTGGTACTCTTGTACTGCATTTTTTTTTCTTAAATGCACTGCATCTTGCTTTCTTGATATTCCATGTTTGATCGTTTCCTCCTTCCTGCAATGCGGATAAAGCTGGATAATTTTATAGTAACTGAAAAGCTTTTGTAGTAGAACAAATGCTTTATATCCTAATTTCACTGCCCTGCATCTCCAATGATCTCAACTGGCAGGATGAGAAAAATCTTTGCCCAGCTCCCTAGATGATGTATATGGAGACATGGATCCAGAGTTTTCTTGACAGATTAGGATAGCATTTGGGCAGAATACTGTCACTGTATTTTTCATACTTTCCTGACCCACTACCCCAACACTCACTTTTCAGAAGTAGGGTATTAAATTTGGAATCAGGAGAAGAGGGACCAGGAAAGACCTTTGCAGTCTGAAATCAAATATTCTATTTAAATTGCTCAAATGGTGTTCATTTGTATTAAATTCTTTTTCAATTAATTTTAAGAACCAATGCATCACTGACAACAAATCAGAATCTGGTCCAGAGCCTCCGGGAAGATCTAACAAAAACAAAAACAGAAAAGGAAACCCTTCAAAAGGACTTGGAAATTAAAGTAGTAGACATCCAAGAGAAAGTCAAGACAATAACTCAAGTCAAGAAAATTGGACGCCGCTACAAGACTCAGTATGAAGAGCTGAAAGCACAGCATGATAAGGTAAGGCTCTTGCCATTCGTGGCCTATGAAAGTTGAGCAGCATAACTTTGAAGCTCCTGATAGTTTTCGGGTTTAAAGTCGTCTGATGAGGTCATACATCTGTCTAGCCTTCATGCTTCCTGTTAATGTCAGCGTAATTAAACTAATATTTAACTCTACATACTAAATCTAAAATTACCCTTGGAGAGAGAATCTGTACACTTAAGAGGTGTTCAACAACACTGAACATGGATGATACCTTTTTTGATTTCCTCAATATATTTTCCATGGTACTGAAGAGAAGCCACTTCTTTTGCTTTAGAGATGTGTTTCTTCTTTCCCATCTCCGAATCACTGTAACATTGATTGATTGTGCTGGATACCTTAGGGCAGTGGTGGCGAACCTATGGCATGCGTGCCAGAGGGGGCACTCAGAGCCTTCTCTGTGGGCACGCGTGTCATCGTCCCAGCCCCACCTCCCCCCACGGTCCCCTCCTCACCAGCAGCCCCCCCCCCGGAAGATGACTCGGCCCCAAGCACGGCCCGCACAGAGCAGCCAAGGACATGGCAGCTGGGCAGCAGGAACAAAACTCCGCCCTTGCATCCTGTTGTGTGCAGACAATGCTGCGGGGCGGGGACGGAGGGCATGGTTGCCATGGCACTGCTGGGCCGCCTGGGAGATCTGCAGCGGGCCATGGAGGCGGTGGGTGGCCCTGCGGGCAGGTGCGGTGGGGGGCAACGGGGGCGGTTTTGGGGCACTCGGTCTCTAAAAGGTTTGCCATCACTGCCTTAGGACCATAGCCAAACAAAACTTCCTTTTCCTCAACTCACAAACACTTACTCATCTTCTCAAATAACCAGTCTATGTGGAGGGCCTGAAATGCTCAATGACCTTCTGTAATGGCTAAATGGACTGCGTGCAATCAACTCCCATCACTTTTAAGCATGTGCTGTAATTCTGTTGAAAACTGTCTGTTTTTTTCTCAGAAAAACAAGAGAAGTAAAATATATGTATGTATGTGTTTATTTATGTGTATGTGTGTGTACATGTGTATGTGTGTCTGTTCATTTGCCTATCTCTCACATCCCAAATACTAAGGGAAGAAATATTTATTTAGCTACTTATTTATTAAATTTATATGCCCCCATCTCGCCATCCAAAGCAACTAAAAATATTAGCCTCTAGCTGCGAAACAAATCAAAAACTTGCCAATCCAGTTGAAGCTCTCTTGTTGCTCTGCATAGGCCTGCAGTGTTGAATTTCAACCCTACAGCCTTGGTGCAGAAGACAGGCCAGTGTGTAGGAGTTCTCTACGATGTGCTGTTGTAGAAGTTAGCAGCATGTATAAGACCAGATGTGGTTGTACAAACATTATTATTAATGATCTAAAATTGCAGATGGTTGCTGAGGCTTCCACACAGTCTTTTGCGGAGCAGCCAGAACAGCATGCGTCAGACAAAGAACATCAGGAGATGAAAGAGGCTCTAAACCAAGCTGAGGTCAAAATAAAAGCTTTAGAGGGGCAGATTGAAGTTCTTCAGAAGGTAAGAGAACTTTCAAGGGGAGTAGCTGTGTGGCTCTGATACCCTTACTAGCAAAACAGAAGTGGAGCATTGTCACTTGAAAACTGTAACTCTTAAGCATTTAAAGCTTAAGCCTCCACAAATAGTGATTCTGAGAATAAAATAGGAATTTCCCTCTGGGTACCTGAAGTCCTTTGGAGAAATTATATGATAGACAAAGGCTTTATAGCAGTGCCCCCCCCCAACCTTTTGGACACTAGGGACCGGTTCTGTGGAGAAAGATTTTTCCGTGGAGCAGAGGAGGCGTGGTTTTACATGCTGCTTGCACCTTGAGGATAGGGCTTCGCTTGTTTGCGTGGCCCCATTGCTGGTATGCCGCGAACCAGTGCGGTCCATGGACCGGGGGGTTGGGGACCCCTGCTTTATAGAATCCATTCATTGGTCTCCTACCATAGGGAAAAAATAATAATAGAAGCCTGATCAATAGCAAACTATAGCATGCTTTAAAAGTTCTTGTAGCAGGTTTATGTGAAGAATTCCTAGTATTTTACCAATCCATCAGCTATGGAAAGTTGCAGTGGCCTAATGTTTCCATGCCTGGGTTTCAATAGACTCTAGGAGAGAAGGACACTGAGGTAAAGAATCTTCAGGAGCAAGTATCCCAGCTGCAATCAGAGCTTTCCCGCCTTCAACAAGATCTACAGGAAAAAACAACACAGGAAGAACAACTCAGACAGCAAGTGACTGAAAAAGAGGAGAAAACTAAAAAGACACTTCTGGCTGCCAAGCAGAGGATTGCACAGCTGGCAGGTGAGTTGGCTTTAAGGGTTTTAAATTCTTGAAGAAATGCTGTTTTAAACTAGTGAGTTTGTAGAAGATTGACTATCTGATTTTGATTTAAATTAGCTTTTGGGAATTACTGTTGGCTTTTCAAGTGATTGTTGAACCTAAGTAGCACATGGGCTAACATGAAAGAAGAGTCTTTGTCAGATAATTCCTAATGCTAGTATTGATCACAGTTGCTATTTTCTTGGAAGAGGTTTAATAAGAACAGAGAAGGAAGGAGAACTAGAGAAAGGAGAGATTTTTGATACTTTTGTTTTTAGCTATCTTTTACGGATTGTTGTGAGCCACCTGGAATCATTATGTGAAGCCATATGTCCTATAAATAAATTTTCACATTAGTGGAGCCAATACTATAAGATTAGCTCTCTCTTCTATTGATAGGACAAGGCCAAGAGCTTCTTTTTTTTCCCCTTGGTAGGAAATGCATGCTCAATTTATGCTCACGCTTAGTTTTCTCAGAGGAGAGAAGCAGACTTGGCCATCTTTAGAATCCGGAGCCAATCCTTATGAAAAAGGAGGAAAGTAGAAAAGTTCTGCAAGAGGAAACAGAATCCTTAGAAGCTAGTGCTGGACCACTATAAAGAAGGAGGTATCCTCCTCCCTTTTGCCTTGTAAGAGAAGGCCTTCCCCAAAAAGTAGCTGGGACGACAGGAACACTACTATTCCCCTTACAGCCACAAAGAAATGGTGTCAGAATTGTGGAGACAAAGGGATAGGAGGGAAAGGGCAGAAGTTTGCAGCCAGGTGGTGCCATTATCAGTGCTCCTCCAAAATGATAGTCCAGTGGTTCCTACCTGGTATAGGGAAAGAGCAGGACAAGGACTTTAGTCCTAGAGCAAGGCTGTCCCAGAGGAAGCAGTTAAATAGCATCTTCAATGGCTTAGGAGAGGACCAGGATGCTGGATAGAACTAAGCTTGCCTACACAGAGCTTACTCTGTAGGGTATAGGAAAATCAGCTTGTTTGAACGGTGATGTTGGAGAATGCTTCTACACATTCCTTGGACAGCAAGTGCTGAGGCATATAATTCTTTCCTTCTTCCAAGGAAGAAGTTTGTAACGCTTATAAAACTGTCCGGTTCATATTTTGGCTAAGAGTTCTTCAAAAAAATGTATCTCTTCACTGAAATACTTTGGTAAGCACTATCAAAATGAAGTGATTGATTTTTCTCTTCTTTGATTCAGGGGCAAAAGATCAGCTGACTAAAGAAAATGAGGAATGGAAGCAAAAGAGTAGCACATTGGAGGAACAAAAGACAGAGTTAGAAGTTCGGATGAGTGCACTTAAATCACAATACGAAGGCCGGATTTGTCGTCTAGAGCGAGAACTCAGAGAGCAACAAGAGAGACATCATGAACAGCGAGATGAGCCTCCAGAATCTACTAGCAAGGTAGATGTTTTGTGGACATTTTTATGTTTTCTTTGCCTTTCATCCTCTGCATCAGTTTAATGAAAGAGATTGCCTAGACCAGGGGTAGTCAACCTTGGCTCTTTTATGACTCGTGGACTTCAACTCCCAGAATTCCTGAGCCAGCCATGCTGGCTCAGGAATTCTGGGAGTTGAAGTCCACGAGTCATAAAAGAGCCAAGGTTGACTACCCCTGGCCTAGACTAGCACTGATGATGTTACCTAGTTTGGGTAATGAAATGTCTGCAAGAAAACAGCCAAGCTCAAAGAGCACCAAGGACCCCTCACCTCAACCCTCAGCTACAAATATTCTCCTTTATTGGTAGATTGCCTTGGAGTCTGTTTCTCTAGACTCCTATCCCAAGGCAACCAGGAATAATTTAAGATGGGGAAAATCATCAGTTCTGTCCTGAATGACTAAAAATGATATGCAGGAGCCCATGCTTTATCCAGCTTGAGGATATGTGTGGGCAAACATCATCCATTTACCAACTGCCTACCTGATGAAATTGCAATAAAGGCTCAGGATAAGTACCACCCTATCCTGGAATATCTATTGATTGTAAGCAATTTCAAGATTTTAAAAATAGGTAGCAGTATTCAAATATATTAAATGAATAACTTAACTACAAATATATTTGTGGTTATCTTTTGCCTCCTCTGGCTTAAACTAATTCTTATCATTAGGCTCCAGAGCAGCAAAGGCAGATCACTCTCAAATCAACTCAAGCTGCAGGTGACCGAGGAATGTGAGTTTTTAATTTTTTTCCCTATTATACTTTTTGAACCTTCTTAAACTTATTTTAGAAGCAAAGCATAGCTCATTTTGTCTCCTTTCTTCTTTAGTTTTCCTCTTTCGTAAGAATGAAAGTTGCTAAGTTTTTAATGATAGTGAAAATAAAGACCACCAAATGGATATTTCTAAACCTTTTTCCTTTGGAAAGGACACATTCCATAGCGGAAATAATTAAGGATAGATTAAAAAAAACTTTTAAGTTATAAGACCGGTAGACAAATCTATGATGCAGCTACAATTGAAATATCATAAAGTAGGGGAGTCCACAGGATCAGTAAAAAGATGTTCAAGATGGTCACCACCATGAAATCAAGCCTACAATTTGAATTTTTTGCTCCTCTCCCTGATTCCACCCATTCCCCACAACACTTGTGCCATGAAGAATTATGTTCAGCTTGCCTTCACAAGGATCTTGAGCTGAGAAACATGTATTAAAACAGGGGTGTCAAACTGCCGGCCCACAGGCCGGTTTCATCATACTGGAGCCGCGCACCCACCCCATTGCCGGCAATGGCGAAAAAGCTCCAATATGTCACGCGACATCATGTGACGTCGCGAGTTTGACATGCCTGTATTAAAAGATGTCCACAACTGTCAAGGAGCTAGGGTTCTTTCTCTTTGAGGGAAGATCTCTACATTTTAATCTTTTTTTTAATTTATTTTTTGGTTGGGTTGGTTGGTTTTTCCTTTACTAAAGAGAAGCTGCATTGTAATCATGATTACATGCTTAAAACATCCACCAACATACCATTTTGGATTATTTCTAGAGCTAGTGCTTCAGATCCACCAACAGCCAACATCAAGCCAACTCCTGTTGTGTCTGCCCCAAGCAAAGTGACAGCTGCTGCCATACCCGGGAACAAGCCCACCCCAAGGGCTAGCATCCGTCCAATGGTTACACCTGCTACAGTCACCAATCCTACAACTACTCCAACAGCCACCGTTATGCCAACAACACAAGTGGAGACTCAGGAAGGTAATTTCTGATTGAAACATACTGAATTAAAAATAAATGTAAAGACATATTAAGCAAATACTTACTTATAAATAGGTAAGCATGTAGGTAAGTTTTTTTGAACCTCTAGAAAACTGGATCAGAGTCAAAAGGTTGACCCATCTGCTAGTATACAGCATTATGTAAAGCCCCTTAATTACTTAAAAGAAAGAAAATGTATATTCAGCTTGAGATTGAGAAAATCACAGATGGAGTGAAAGGTTATAACATCCCCCATTGTAACACTTGGGATGTCCCTAATTCAAGGATTTTATGCAGCCTGAATCTTCTCATTAAACTCTAAAGATCTCTGTGATAGTATCTTGTAAATTAGAAATTTTTGAGCATTGTTGCAAAAATCTACTTAAAAGTGTGAAAAGATGAGAAATGGAACTTGGGGGGGAAATTATTTGGTGGGATGTAATCTGAACTCATTTTAATGGTGGAAAAGATAGCAATTTGTAGTATTTGTAGTATTTGTTTACTCTAGGTTGTTCTGTTCCTTGTTGGTGAAAATAGCATCCATCTTAAAATTGCAAGAGACGCTTGTCTCAATATCTAAATGCCATACTATATTAACATGAATCATATTTCAGTGTAACAGTTACCTGAAGATAGAAAACATAAATATGGATTAATTTGACTGTGTCAGCAGCAACATCACTGTTTTTGTTTTTTTAAGGAAGTGAGATGACATAACTTCTAGAAATATTTTCCCGCATTCTGAGCTGAGATTCCAGCTCTCACCTTAAACATTAAAACGATGTGTGAAACTGACCCGTGTCCTAACTTCATTTCAGCCATGCAGTCAGAAGGACCAGTTGAACACGTTCCAGTCTTTGGAAGCACAAGCGGGTCTGTGCGCTCCACGAGCCCCAATGTGCAGACCTCTCTTTCCCAGCCCATCTTGACAGTTCCGCAACAGAGTCAGGCCACAGCTTTTGTACAGCCTACTCAACAGAGTCATCCTCAGATCGAACCAGCTGCCCAAGAGCTGTCCCCAGCCATCATGGAGGTGGTGCAGAGCTCCCAGATGGAAAGACCTTCTACGTCAACAGCAGTGTTTGGCACAGGTTGGATTTCTGGAAACCACCACATCCACCTTCTTCATTCAGTCATCTAGACCAGGGGTAGGCAACCTTGGCTCTTTTATGACTCGTGGACTTCAACTCCCAGAATTCCTGAGCCAGCCATGCTGGCTCAGGAATTCTGGGAGTTGAAGTCCACGAGTCATAAAAGAGCCAAGGTTGCCTACCCCTGGTCTAGACTCAGTTCTCAAATTTTCAGGGAAAAAAACTCACTTTGGCTGGGAGTTGAAACCTACCTAGATTGTACCCAGATTGGGAAAGAGTGTGTGATGTAAATGTTGACGATGCAATTTAAAATTAATTAAAAACCAGCATTTTGGAAGCACTGATTATAAGCAACCAAGCTGTCTGTAAGGACTCATCTCAGCTAACCACCCAAGAAAGCAGAACTCTTGAAACAGGCATTGTCTCAAAAGGATACTTTTATTAGGGGCTAGTGACAGTAGGAAAGTCAAGGCGAGATCTGGGGAAAATCCCGCTCCTCCTCCCACCAAAATCATAATGTCCATTTGAAATCCAGCACAAGTTGGCGTGCATCTCAAGGTCTTCTCCGGTTTCCTTTTCTCCATAACTGTCTCCCTGATAAGGGAGGCACTTTCTTCTCTCATTTGGATAGAGGTGGGAGAGGAAAAGTAGAAAGTGAAAGTTCTCCCAAGCAACAGTAAATCCCCCCCCCCAGCAGAATGGCAGGCCCCAAATAAGAATGCATATGCAGAGAAACAAGAAGAGTTTGGGGATATGACATTGTCCATCGAAAGAAGAATTCCATAGCCACTGTTTATTTCTTTTTCTTAGATCTTTAATGTAATGTGTTTGACTAAAGGAAAACATTTCCCTTTTAGTTTCAGCTACTCCCAGCTCGTCTCTGCCCAAACGAGCACGAGAGGAAGAAGAGGAGAATGCCGTCGAAAACTCGGAACAGATTCCCGAGGAAATGGTTGATCTGCCTCTTGCAAAGAAACTGAGAACTTTGCAAAGAGTTGGGCCAGAGGTTTGTAAGGGGAACTGTGGGATTATGAGCATCTCAAGAAAAAAAACCCAACAACAATGCAGCCTTAGATATTGGCTTTCAACCGTTTTGAACATCATCCTGTATTACAGAGGTCCCCAACCTTTTGGGCACCAGGAACCGGTTACGTGGAGACAGGTTTTTCCGTGGACCAGAGGGGGCTTGGCTTTGGGTGCTGCCTGCCTCCTGTGGATGGGGTTTTCCCCATGCTGGCATGCCACGGCCCCGTACTGGTCCACAGCCCGGGGGTTGGGGACCCCTGCTGAATTAGTTGCAGGGTCCCAGGGTCATGTGATCTCCTTTTGCGACCTGACAGGCAAAGTCAGTGGAGAAGCCAGATTCACTTAACAACCATGTTAGTAACTTAACAGCTGCAGTGATTCACTTAACAACCGTGACAAGAATGGTCATAAAATGGGGCAGAACTCACTTAACAATTGTTTTGCTTAAGCAACAGAAATTTTGGACTCAGTTGTCATAAGTCAAGAAACTCCCTGTACCATGTTTCTCATTAAAATTGTCTTATATATTCGTTTGTCAGATATCAAATGTCAACTTATAAAGTGATTGCAGATTTAAGTGAGTCTGTATACAACCAGTTATCAATAATTATAAACATGTTCAGTTTTAACAACTGCCCATGGAGGCTGTTAGAACTTAAAGGTTTGACTTTGGTATGCGTGGATCAGTAACAACATTACTAAGATTTGCAAATTATTACAGCTACCCATACCATCCTCGCCCATACCATCACTCCCACCAGTCGCACTACCCCACCCCATTGTCGGGACGAACGACGGGGACATTTGTTGCTGCCACTCCCTGCCCCACCTTCCATTTGCCTCAGCCCCCCCCCCCTGAACTGAACCAACATCCAGGAGGACTGTTTCTTCCCCCTGTCCGGGCCCTTCTGCTGTGGGATTCTGGACTCTGGACTCTGGACTCAGTGAATAATCTGGGATGTACCTCAGGTCAGAGCTGCTGGCCCTGCGCGATTCCCCCCTCGCGCAGGTATGGCCCAATTTGACCTTAGGGGCCTGCCTCGATGACGGGGTATGGAGCCCCGAGAGGTGGTGTGCAGCCAAAGAAACGAGAGATCTAAGGAAGTTGAAGTTGAGGGT